GCACACGTGTCCCCAAAGAGGGCACAGCTGAGACCTGCAGGTGCCAACTTAAGCTCCCCCACCTCCCTGCTGTGTGACCTTGGACACGCTGCCTAACCTCTCTGTGCCCCGGTTTTCTCACCTGGAACCTGAGAGTCATTATTTGCCATTTGACTCAGAGTTTATGAAAGGGAAAAAGTTTGTGCAGCACAGGGAGCTTGGAAGGGCATGACACCCCCACAGCGTCACACGGCTCTGTCCCAATGGAACTTTCTGCAGTGCCGGAATGTTCTAGAAACACGCGGTCCGATAGCATGGTGGCCCCTGTCACGCGTGGTAATGGAGCCCTTGGAACACAGCCTGTGTCACCGAGAAACTTAGTTTCTTCAGGTATTTCATTTTTACCCATTACAATTTTACCATTTAAATTATAAGGACAATGCACGATTCTATCCATTACAGTTAGTTTTACAATTTCGACTACATTGTAAATGACTACCTGTGGCTACAAGCTACTTATGGGACAGTGGGGGCTTAGGGAGCAGCAGCTCCGGCGTCTTCCCGCGTCGGTAGCTGTCTTTAAGGAGGGCTGTCCGAGGCTCTGTGCCTCTGCGGGTCCCGCGGCCCCGCCCGGAAGGCCGTCTGCAGGAGGCTGTGGCGGGCACCTGGCCCAGCTCTCGGCCCGAGGACACCACCTCCCTCCCCACAGGCCCACGCGGGACAGCGAGGAGGAGGAGGAGGAGGAGCGGCGGGGCCGGGGCTGTGCCCTGCAGTACCAGCACGCCACCGTGAGGGTCCTCACCCAGTTCGTGTCCGAGGGCGCCGGCCCCTGGGGACAGCTGAGCTACCTGCTGAGTCCCGACTGGCAGGTGGACATCACGCACCTGGTGGCCGACTTCATGAAGGTGGAGGAGCCCCACGTCGTCACCCTGCAGGACGGCGGGGTCCTGGTCGGGCGGGAGGTCGGGATGACCACCATCCAGGTAGGAAGCGGGGCTGGGGATCCCTGCAGGTCCAGCCCTGAGTGCGGTGGGCACGGGGCAGGCTCACCAGGTGGGCGGGCACTAGGGCCAGGGCCTTGTCTGCGTGCTGGCCTCCTGGGGACACCGGACAGCGAGCTGCACCAGCTTTGAGTCCCAGCCTCCTCCCGAGCAGAGTGGAGAAGGTGGCGGCGCTTAGCTCCCCACGTGACACCCTCTCTGTGCGACACCTGCTTTCCCGCCACCTCCCAGGACCCCCCACCCGACCCTGAGCTTCCCCCACACATGCTCCTCCGATGGGCGGGGAGACGCATCCGTCCCCCCTTCTTGAAGTCCCTCCGTGGTTCCACTATTTATTCACCCAACACCCCCCCCCCACCTCGCCACCCCCTGCCTTCTGTGCTCAAGGCCAGGGTCTGGAAGGGCAGGTCTTTGAACGACCCCAGAAGCATGGGGCGCTTTTCCACGCACCCGCAACTCCCACCCCGCTTGCTCCTCCTGTTGGAAAGCCGTTCTGGGTCCTTCCACCACTGCCACACGGCAGGGCTCACCTCTCCGTTCACCTGGACGTCTGCCGTCCCACCCTGGGCTCGAACAGGGGCTGTGGGGGGAGGGGCCGAGTGTCAGGGCACCCAGTTGGTTCTGTAATTCCCTTGGAACAGGATTTGGGCGGCCCCCTTGGGGGGTCAGCCGGCGGGGTCGCTGCCTCGTCCCCCAGCCGCCTGGAGGGTCGCCTCCCTGCCGAGCAAACGAAGCTTGGGGTTTAGCGCCTGTGTCTGTTTACCCGCTGGCGGAGCCGAAGTGTCCCGGGAGGGGCAGCTTCCTCTGATCCTCACAGAGGCCCCTGCTGGGCACCTGTGGGATGAGGAAGGTGCACACGCCCTTCCCCCGCCCTCCGGACCCCTGGCCCCCCAGGGGTCACAGGAACGCGGCTGGGGCGGCGCCCAACCCGGAACCTGGAGCGACGGTTTGCCTCGTGTGCCGCCCACCCCACAGGTGCTGTCTCCGCTGTCCGACTCCATCCTGGCGGAGAAGACGGTCACCGTGCTGGATGACAAAGTGTCGCTGGCAGACCTGGCCGTCCAGCTCGTGGCGGGACTGTCTGTCACCCTGCATCCCGGCGCGGAGAGCTGGGGGGCCATCACAGCGGTGGCCACGGCCGAGGAGATGCTGCGGGCCCCCAAACAGGTGGGAGCCCGAGGGCCGGGGGCAGAGAGGGGCGGGTGGGCACTGGTCACGGTCCCCAATGGTACAGAAGGGCGGCGGGGGCGGGTGGCCCCGACTCTGGGACTTGTGGACGCTGTTCGCCGGTGACACGGTGGGACCCGAAATCACTCCGGGGTGAGTGTTCTTTTAAGTCATTCAGAATCCCTCCTGTTTGGGGACATGCATGGGCCAGTGGTCCCCAGATTGGTCTGCAGAGTGGAGAGGGCGCTCCACGGCAGCCTCTGAAATTCGCTCTCGGGAAGGAAGTGTCAGCGCTGTCACACCGCGGGGACGATGGGCACAGAGGCTGGCAAACCCCCTCCCCCGCCCCGCGTTCCGAGGGCGTCATTCGGATCCTCTGCCGTCCAGGGCCCTGGTGTGAACTTCTTTCTCCGTCTGCAGTTCATGCAGAAAAACTAATGAGAGAGGAAAAGCCGAGAGGAACTCAGGGACGGTGTTAAGGATGTGTTACTGCAGCCCTGGGGGGGAGCGCGGGGGGCTGGCACCTCGCTGGTGGCCGTTTCAACTCGGAGATGCAGACTCTGAGTGGCTGGTGAGCGGCAAATACAAGGACGGGAGTGGGTACAACGCGCCCCCGCGCCGTCTCGTGGGCTGTAAAGGAAGCTAGGAGAGAAACCGCAGGAACCCCCGGTGTGAATGCCTTCGATTTAGGCCTCAGAAGGGGTGTGGCGGGTTGTGAGATTGGTCAGTCAGTGGGGACAGACGGACGGACGGAGGGGACAGGGCGGGAAGCAGAACTCCCCGGCCAGAATGTCGCAGCTGTGGTTCCCCAGACACTGGGCTTCACCACAGGGCCTGCATGCGCACTTTATTCGGGCGAAGGGGACCTGTCGGGTGGGCAGAGGGCCCAGGAGCCAGCCAGCGAGGTGCGCTCGGGGCTCCGCCAGCACCGCGGGCCTGCGGCTGCTAGGAAACCGCCGGCCAGCACGGAAAAGGCTAGAAGGTCCTCGTTCCTGAGGGGCAAGGGAGCCGGGAGACTGGGTTTGGCTGTGGACGTGGGTGTGGGTGTGAACACTGGGCATGGACAGGGATACAGGCGATACAGTGATACAGACGATAAAGGCGATACAGTGATACAGGTGATACAATGATACAGTGATACAGGCAATAAAGGTGATACAGATGATACAGGTAATACAGTGAACAGACGATAAAGGTGATACAGTGATACAGGCGATACAGGTAATACATGTGATACGAATGATACAGGAGGTACCAGTGGTACAGGTGATATGGATGATACAGGCGGGACAGCCCTCTGTGGAGAGCCGCCGGGTGCTGCTGGCTCTGCCCCGGACCACCTGCCTTCCGGGGGCGGAGAATGCCCTCCAGCAAAACAAACAAGCAAAGCAGAGACCCCGGCCGGCTGACCGCTGATGCCCGGAGCAGGCGGCCCAGGGGTGAGCGGCCGTGTCAGCAGTGCGGCCACCCCCGTCCAGGCTCCCGCAGGATCTATCGGCCATCCGTCTGGGCCTGGAGTGCTGCCCCCGGTGCCTTTGGGTTCTGTCCTGGCAGTGGGCCGGGAGGGGCCTCAGGGAGCAGGTGCCCCCCAACCCAGGCCCTCTGACAGACTGTCTCTCTGCAGGAGGCCGTGGTCAGCACTTGGCTGCAGTTCAGCGACGGCTCCGTGACGCCCCTGGACATCTACGACACCGAGGACTTCACCCTGACAGCCACCTCCCTGGACGAGGCCGTGGTGTCCGTCCCCCAGGCCCACCCTCCCAGGTGGCCCGTCGTGGTGGCCGAAGGGGAGGGCCAGGGGCCTCTGCTCCGCGTAGACCTGGCCATCGCGGAGACCTGCCAGAAATCCAAACGCAAGAACGTCCTGGCAGTGGGTGTTGCCAACGTCAAGGTCACATTTGGCCAGAACAACGCAGACTCCAGCCCTGGAGGGGAGAGCAGCGAGGCCGAGATCAAGAACCACGCCAGTGACCGGCGCCCCAAGGGCCAGGACCCTGAGCGCACCAGCCAGGACGGGCTCCTCCCAGGCAGCCCATCGCTGAGGCGTGAGGAGGGGGCACACAGGGGTGGCCCCACGGCCAAGTCGCTGCTGGACAACCCGGTGGCCGAGCACAGCCAGCTGGACGGGGGCCGGCCGCCAGGGGGGGCTCTGCTGCAGAACATCCCCCTCGACGTCAGCGACTTCCCGGCGCCCGCGGAGCTCCCGCAGGCCGGGCCCGGGGACGGCGGCCTGGCGCAGACGGCCCGCGGCCTGAGCGACCTGCAGATCGGCATGTACGCCCTCCTGGGCGTCTTCTGCCTGGCCATCCTGGTCTTCCTCATCAACTGTGCCGCCTTCACCCTCAGGTACCGGCACAAGCAGGTGCCCCTGGAAGGCCGGGCCTCTGTGACCCACTCACATGACTGGGTGTGGCTGGGCAACGAGGCCGAACTCCTGGAGAGCACGGGCCAGGGGCTGCCGCGGCCCGACGAGCACACGACCACCCTGGACCGCAGGCTGGGGGCCTGTGAGGGCGGCGGCCGCCTCCTGCTCAATGGCGGCTCCTCCCGGAAGCAGGCGCTGGACCCCGGCCCGGGGCCCAGGCTGGCCGAGCTGGGGCGCAGGCAGGGCCAGGACCAGAAGCACGAGCCCCTGCACTCGCCCACCTCCAAGAGGAAGAAGGTGAAGTTCGCCACCTTCAGCACCAGCCTCCCGGACGACAGCTGCCCCACCGCGAACTGCACCCTCGGGGGCAATGATGAGGACATCAAGTGGGTGTGCCGGGACCTGGGCCTGGGCGCCCCCAGAGAACCCAGAAGCTACCTGGAGAAGTTCAAGGACAAAGCGTAGGCCCCGAGGGCCCCGTGCTTGCCCGCCCCTGCCCCCGTGACTTCCAGGGTGGACCTGGGCCCCTGGCACAGAGCTCGCGAGTCGGTGGGGGTTGAGCGAGGGCCCTAAAAGACCTGCTCGGGTTTGGAAGCCACAAAGGGACCTTTTTTGTCATCGAAGGGTTTTTAGCAGAGGATGAGGGCAGAGCTGTGTGGGAAGGACGGTGGGGATGCAGGGGACTGAGGCACGGCGCCGCGCCAGGCCGAGAGAGGGAGCTTGTTTCACAAGTCCCAGTAGGGCCCCGTCAAGCTACCAAAAACGACTTGTAGAAAAATGCAGAGACCAATAAAAAGACGGAAATCGTCACTGGTTTATATTTCTAATGTAGGAGCGTGATGGAAAACCAGGGCCAGCTAAGAGACAGTTCCATTGTCCCAGTTCAGTGGCCCCTTTCCTGGGGGCGGCCCACGCGGGGCTGGGGGGACAGGTGTCTGGGGGTCTGTCACCTCTGGGGACAGCCTGAGCATTCCGGGATCTTCCTTGCTCACCTTCCCTTTTTCTGTATTTTCTTTTTCCCTTTTATCTTTTGGTCCGTGTCCTGGACGTCCATTTGATTTCAACTTAACGTTGATTTTCTGAGGATCCAATGGTAGGTATATTTTCCACAAATTAAACAGAAGTCACATTCCTGTACATTAGACAGACTCTTAGAAATGGTCGCTTTTGATTCACTCTTTGAGTACCTTTGACGCTTTTCTCTGCCACAGTCTGTCACTGTTTGCCGGGTGTTTCCACGTGAAGGGAGTTGGCACCGGCGGTCACGGGCGTCACGGGGCACAGCCGCCTTGGGGACACTGTCACAGGGCGCTCACATGGCACACAGCCGGCCGCACAAGCCCGGTGGGGCCCCGACCCCCCAGCCACTCTGTGGCCCCTGTCACAGGGACTCTCATTTGGGGACGTCAGGTCAGAGCCCAACCCCGAGGATGCCCAGCGCCCCTTCACACCATGGCTCTGTGGGGACACCTACTGACCCTGAGCAACGAACATAGAAAAAACGGAGCGTTTTTAAGCTGCTCTCCCAGCCCTGCTGGGCGGCGCGCACCGGCACAGGCCGGGAAGGCGGGGTTCCCCGTGAGAGGCCAGCCAGCTGCGACTCGCGGCAGCCGAACTGTGTGTCCATAAGCGTGTCGGGAAACGCCTTCGTCCAGAGTGGCGTGTCCCGGGCCGCGCCGGGGTGGGGCAGCCCCTTCGTGACGCCCGTGCCCGGGCACCCGGCTGTCGGCCGGCGGCGCTCACGGGTTCCCAGGATGCGTCTTGGTTTTATTTTTGTAATGACCAGAATCGATCGCTGAGAACAGAGTCCTTGAAGCCTCGTGACCTTGGCTGGGCCTTTCAAAAAGATATTTCTAGCACATATTAGAAAGGAGCTATTTATTTACACCTGTGATGTCGATTGTCATTAAAATGCCTTGGTGGCCGGACAAACCCGTATCTCGTGGGGTGTGTCTCATTCCTTCTGACTCTCGGCGTCTGTCCCCGACACGCGAGGCACTTGCTGACGAAAGGACCCGCCTGCTCAAGGAAGACACACCACTCGCCAAACACCTTTCCCCTCTGGGCAGATCCAGACTGACTCCTGAGGAGGAGACCCTCGGTCCCTCGCCCACATTGTCGGCAGCAGTGAACTTGAACATGCTCAGGACCGCCGGGGTGGCTCCTGAAACACGCCGCGGTGAGCTGGGGCCCTGGAACCAAAACACGGAGGGGCCACAGCGAGAGGCTGTGTTGACATCCACACACGCGTACACACGCACGCACACACACCAGCTGTGCAGGAAGCACTGACCCAGGCAGAAGCCCAAATAGGGTTTCAACGGAGAGACCAAGGTGGCGGTGGCGGCGATGAGGAAGGGAACTGGTGCGTCGCAAAGGACGGTGTCGCGGTGCGAGCAGATGAGGTAAGCTGCTGTCCCAGCTCCCGGCATGCGGGCCACTTGCAGTCGGTGGTCCCAGGCTGGCCACTCACGGCGCCTGCGTTCTCCTCGTCCTCGAAGACAGTCGTTTGGGGCGCGCGTTGCTCTGGGCCCAGTCCGAACGTCCCTTTGTCCTGTGTCCACACCCTCGGGTTTTAGGTAGAAAACCACCGGGCTCCGTTTTGAAATAGCTCTGTTTATTTATTTTTTTACAGGCCAGAAAGCGCATTTCTAACCAGTTCCAGGGTGGTTCCGACACTGCCGACCGGCCTTAGGGCGACCCTCCCCTCCCCCGCAGGGCGGCCTTGACCTTTGGTGGAGAACTGCGTGGATGTCACCCCAGGAAAAAGGTTCACTTTCGTTTGTTTTGCTTCTGTGTCCATTGTCACTCTTGGGGGTTGTGGCGGTGTCGTCGTTGCTGTTGGTTAGTTGGGGAAAGAGAGTTTTTTGGTAGAAGATGGTGGTACTTAGAAAAAAAGCTTTATTGAGATAGAATTCACACACTATAAAAACCGACCCAGATAAAGCGTTCGATTCGGTGGTTGCTGGTGTATTTACAGGGTCGGGCACCCTCGCTACACCGCGTTTAGAAGGTTCCATCATCTCCACTGGTAGGAGACCCACTCCCTCTGTGCCCCCCGAATGCCCGGGCCCAGGCTGCCACCGATCCGCTCTCTGCCTCCGTGGCTTTGCCCAGAGGTGCCCCTGTCGGGCTGAGCGGTTCTCCTGGGAGTCCCCGCCGTCACCCCAGAGCAGTGCTTCTCGGAGATGCGGCGGGGGGTTCCTGCGCTGTGACCGCTTTCTTAATCACGGCGCCAGGAGACCCCTGCCTTCTGTGGCCGGGCTGCCGTGGACGGGGGCGGGGGCAGGGGGGAGAGTGGCCTTCGTGACCTGCTGTGTGATACCATGTCCCCCAAAGTCTCACTCCCTGCCCCGGAGCCCCCCGATTTCTCTCCAAGATCCAGGCTCCAAATAAGGGGAAAAAGACCATGGTGGTGTCCACTGCTGGGGGGTGAAGTGCTGCCCTGAGGTGAACTATAAAGACGGCGCTTCCATGGTCCGCTCCGGTCAGCTGAGCTGCGTTGGCTCCGAGACCCGGGACCGGAGGACAGCGGAAGTCCTCCCTCGCCGGTGGACGGCGTCCATCAGTTATTCGCTCACGCCACCGTCGGAGGGAGGTGCGTGATGCACCCCGCCCCCACCTGGGATTGCGGACGAGGGACCGCACCCCACACACCCTCCCCGGGGTCCCGGCCGGGCGGGGGCGGGGTGGGACTCCGACCCACACTCCCGTCTCCGGAGACCGTGGCTCAGTTATTGCACCAACATGGGCTTTTCATCGTTTCCTTGTGTTAAAAAATGTAATAAGACTGGCCGGGGAAAAAAAAGAGAAAAAGAAAAGCAATCCAGGCTTATTGCACAAAACTGGAGAATAAAGAAAAGTGGAAGAAATGGCGTGTTTTAAAAAAGCCCTCGAGCCCCACTTCCCGGAAATAAAAATGAAGAGTTTGCCTTCTGTACCTGCCACTGTTTGGTGCCAGTGCTGCCCGCGATTCCTGTCCATGGCCGTATTCAAAGTTTCAAAGGAGGCCATTAGGAATACGACTTTTAAATTATTTTTCCAATTTTAAAAGCAGCCCATGAGCACTGTAAAAAATTTATTAAAATGACCGAGTTCACCTCATGTGGCGCCTTGCATCTGTTCTTACAAGTTCTTATGGATTTCTTTCCCCCGCAGTTGAGATCAAAGGGCCCATATTGACTTTTAAGTGCAATTAACAGGAAGGCTCCCCGATAGATAGAGGGTAGGCCGGCCGGGGGTGCGGGCCGCCTGCAGGAGCCTGAGGGGCCCCGAGGGAGGGGCCGAGGGGTGAGCTCGCAGCCCACCCTGCTCCTGGGGGGGGGGGGTGTCCGCCTGGAGGTCAGTCACTGGGCCGTGCCGATTTCAGCGACAGCAGCACCTGTGTGCCCAGTGAGGCCCCCGGCTCCCCCCTCCCTGAGGAGCCAGGGTGCGCTCCCACGGGCAGGGGGCGCGTGGGAAGGTGATGGGGCGGGTGTCAGGGCCAGACGCCTGTGCTCGGCCTGGTCTGTGACTGGTGACAGAGGACCAGTCCCGTCGGCTACCTCTCCCATCAGCGCAAGGGCGCAGGGCAGGCAGACTCAAGGGCAAAGATCGGGGTTGGGGGTGGGTGGAGGTGAGCCCCACAGTGGTCCCCGTGGGGATTCGCACCGTGGAGCTCAGAGTCGGAGCCGATGGTGGCACCAGGCTCCCTGGGCTGGACAGACAATGTGACATTCACACAAGGGTGGCAGGGACCTGGACGTGACGGTCGGAGGGGCTGAGCGCTCAGCCCAGACCAGGGGGCTTCACAGGCAGGTGCTGACCCGGGCGGCGGGAGTCCCAGGCACGCTGTGGCTCTGGGCCAGTGGGGTCCCTCTAGGAAGGGGCAGGAGACTGCAGGGGACAGACGAGAAAGCTGGGCGGTGGGGGGGGGGGCGGGAGGCACAGAAGGAGTAGGGTCCAGAGGGCTGGCCCTGGGCAGAACCCGGGAACCCCCCTTACAAACAGCTCCCCGCAGTGCGGTGAGACGCTTCCACCGTGACAAATGCTACAGAGAGGGTGCTGAGCCAGGGCAGCCTCCGATGGGCACTCGCGTGTCCCAGAGGCCCTAGAAGGCCACTCAGGGGAGACACGGCTTGTCCCCGGCACAGGGTGCCTCAGAGGCCAGGACCGTCTGGACGGCAGGGCAAGCGGACACGGGCGAGGCTCGGTCAGGGGCAGAGCGCCACGCCCCTGCGCTGGTCTCTGCATGGGCACCTCCCCCAGTTCTTCATGGCGGTGCCCACGATGGCGGCTCGGCAACCTGTTGGGGGTGTGATGACGGCAGACATCTCACGTTGATCTTACGCCACCTCAGCCCAATAAAAATGTGTGTGTCATTTAAAGTTTCCTGGAAGCTACATTTTTAAAAGTAAGGAAATTAATTTTAATGCTTTTGTATTTAGTCTAATTTACCTAAAATACCACCCTTTGGACATGCAGTCGATACAGCTCTTATTGGTGGACGTTGGGTGTTCTGGCGCTGTCTCCAAAGCTCAGTAAATACTGTGTGAAGATCGCGAGTCCACTGTGACTGCTGGGGACACGCCCCGCCTCGGCCCCACCCTCCGAGGGCTCGGGGTCCCTGCAGGGGTCAGGGCGCACCACCGGGGTGCGCTGCTCAGAGGGCTGCGTCAGGGAGCGAACCCGGGAAAGCTGCTGGCCAACCCCATCTCTACCAGGAAGGGCAGGCGACTCTTCGTTCGTTTGCTTTTATCCTGGAATGCAAATGTCCTTTTAATTAAAGTGTTATTGGCACAAAGCAGTGTGTTTGTTTCTGGTCCAACACGGTGATTTGACATTAACGTACCTTGTGCAGTGGTCACCACGGGAAGTCACCGTTTGAAGCTATTGCGACAGTTCTCATCACGGGACCCCATGCACTCCGGATGCATCTCGGGCCCATGAGACACGGGGGGGACCCACACCCCCACCCGATCCCGTCTCAGCCCTCACCTCCCGGCCACAACCTGCCCCCCAAGAAGCCCGAGTCCCCTTCCTTTCTCTGGCCACTTCGCAAAATCACTGTCCTTTCATTAAGGTGCAGAGTGAGCTCCAGTGGTGGCCACCCCTCTGAGGTGCTCGTCACCAGCCCCCACGGGACACGTGAGCGAGCTTCTGTCCCGGTTTCTCTCCTTAGGCCACTTTCTCTTGGCCCAGTTTGCAGACAAACTGAGGGAAGGTCAGTACACGGAGGGGGCCCGGGCCCCCATTCCTTTGCCACGGACCCCAGTCTGTGCCCACAGGTCTGACTTTGTTTTTAAATGCACCCGAATAGCAAGGGCTTTTTGTCTGATTCAGCCCCTGCCTGCGTTTCCAAAGAGCTTGATTCTGTGACTTCGGGAGAGGCGCCCCCCTGTGGCTGGGGGAGTTCTCTGCACTCGGAGCGACTCGGAAGAAGGAGACGGCAACTCCCGGCCTTGCGTCAAGGATCAGCCGGCGGAAGGGAGCGGGGACCGGGGGTTCAGTGTGTGCTACAGCCGACAGAGGCCGTGTCCCGTCCGGCCTTGACTAACGGCCCTCTGTCCCAGGCGGACAGGCCTCTTGGGTGAAGTGTGGTTGCCACAAACACAGTAATGATCATAATAACAGCGATGATGGGGGCGGAGGAAAGGTCGGGAGCCCAAGCCCAAGGCCGTGTGATGGGGCTGAGGGTAGCGGTGGCTTCGAGGGCGTCCAGGTGACCCTTGGGCCCTGGAAGAAGAAGAGCTGTCTTGGGCCGCACGTTAAATACATTGCAACAAGTAATCACAACAAGGTCTCATTGTTTTAAGTAAATTTGCGGTTTTGTGTTGGGCCACACTCGCAGCCTCCTGGGCCGCCCTCAAGTTCACTGAGTTGTAGCCACGGAGGATGCACCACTTTTCACACGTCCGTCGCACGTCCGTCAAGTGGCATTTGTGAAAGAGGAGTGAAAAGAGGCCGTCGCCCAAGAACCTGGGCAGGAGTGGGCGCCTGGGGGCGGCAGCCGCGGGGCGGACAGAGGCGAGGCCCGAGCAGGGAGCGGAGGCCCGAGGCCCCGCCCCACGCCCCTCCCAGGACAGGACTTCCGGCCGCTTTGCCAGCGGAGAGGCGACCTTGACCCTGGTGATTAGAGAAGCTGCCGTCACCGCCACGCTCGCTCCGCTCTTTATGGTAAGAAAGAAAATCTATGGTTTCTCATTTTAAGGGATTATGGGCCGCGGACGCCCACTTCCCACCTGTCAGGAGCCCATAAAACCTGTTGGACGGTGAAAGTGAATCAGGCGAGGCCTGCGTCCAATGAAGGGACTTTATTTTTCATGATAAAGTGGCTGGTTTGGAGGCGACAGACGTTCATGCATCGGGGGGCCGGGCATCCCCTCTGTCGAGGGCGAGGACAGGCTGGTGGGCCGCCCGTGGGGGCTGGGCCGTGACCCGGTGTGAGGCCCTCCCTGAGTCTGCACATCCGGGGACCGTTCCCTGAGGTCGTGCGCTCACAACCGCACCTGAGCTGCCGTGGGCACACGCATGCACACGTATGCAGGTGCACACACAGTCATGGACCCCCCACACACACACGGAGGCACACGTCCAGACACAGGGGCACACGCCTACTGCCCTCCTGCCCACTCTGCCTCAGCCCCTGGCAACCGTAGGCCTGTGGCTCTGGGGCCACCCGCTGTGGGCCTTCCACAGATGCGGAGTCACACGGAAATGTCAGAAGGGGGTGCCCACAGCCTGAGGACGTGCGGCCAGCGGACGGTGTCCAGCCACAGGGTCCCCTCACGCTCAGGGTCCCCCCAGGGTCACCCAAGTCCAAGTGGCTTGAACAACAACAAACAAACGCTTTCTCGCCCATTCCAGAGGACGGGGGTGTGAGCGACTCAGGCCACCCACCACACTGAGGGCACAGGGTCCCGTGTCCCGTCCCTCCTCGGCCATTCAGTGAGGCTGTGCTTCTCAGAAAGGTCCCCTCAGGGGTTCCAGCAGGTGCCGCTGGTGGGAACCACTGGTGGAGGGAGAAGCTGAGCCTGGGCTGCATTTCCCCCACCCACGTGCAAGCAGCCGGGCTGGCCCTGTTCTTGCCTGGAAGGATTTCTCCTCCTCATTCCCGAGCCCGCCCTGTTGCCCCAGGTGGGACCCGTGTCTGGTTATAGGAGGCAGGTGGTCTGTGCAGAGATGGGCTGCCAGCAGCCACAGCGAGGCTCCTGCGACCAGGAGGGAGGCAGGGGAGCGTGGGCGAGGCGCCCTCCACACCGGAGATGCAGGCGGGGGCTGAACTGAGCCCCACTGGGGGCTTTGAAGGCTGCGCACGCCTCCCCCGCCTTCCTGACGCCGGGTGCCTGCGTCCCGCATCCTGACCAGCGTGCGAACACGTGTTCCCTGCGGGGGCTCCGCACTTCAACCAGACGCTCAACTTCTCGGCTGTTTAACTTAAGCACCCAGGTGGCAACACTTTCTTATCTATTAGCGTCCTCCGCAGGGGAACGTGGGAAGTGGACTGAACTTCCCATCAGCCTCCAGCTTCACCTTAGCAGCCACGGGCTCCCGGGGAGAGAAGTCAGTGGAGAGGTCGTTAAGGATCACGCAGTATCGGGGAAATAATTATGGGGGAGCAGGGCCCCGCTGCAGTTGTCAGGAGCTGCAGCTGGTCGGCAAGGACGGGAAGATTCTGTTGTGGGAGGGGGGCTGGGCCGTGGGGACGGGGGTGGGCCTCCCGTCCGGAAGGCGCGGGGAATCTCCTGGGTTCACTCACTACGAGGAGAGCGACGGTGGAGTTGGGCTTAGGAATCTCTAATTTTGACAGAAAACAGTCGACAACGGGCTATTTCACATGAAATCCAGAGCCCAGGCGAGGGCCTGGCCTCGTGTCTGCCTTTAGACTGAAAGGGGAAAAAACGATGGTGAAGCCGTGAGCGGGTGGCTCAGTTGGTTGGAGTGCTGCCCTGTAAACCGAAAGGCCCAGGGTTCAATTCCCGGTCCGGGCATTGAGCTCCTGGGTGGCGAGTTTGCTCCTCTGCCCAGGTGTGAACGAGAGGCAACCGATTGGTGCTTCTCTCTCTCTCCTGCCCCCCCCTCTCTCTCAAATCAATCTGCATGTCTTTGGGTGAGGATTAAAATTGATAATAAAATAAACAGATAGGCAGAGAGAGAGGAATAGGCCGACAGACAGATAAATGAAGGCTGTCGGCCAAGTCCCCGCCCCAAACGCAGATGGAGGGAGGTTGGGAGAAGCGGGTGTTCAGGTCCTGCTTTCCCAGAGTTCGTTCCCCCTTCTGCCAGGAGGTGGCGCTGTGTCAGCTCGGGGATCCGCGGTCAGGCCCAGCAGCACCTGGCCAGCACCTGACTCACCTTTGGCTCACCCCTGGCTCACCCCTGGCTCACCCCTGGCTCACCCTAGACTCGAGGGTTCCCATGTGATCTGATCTGGCCTCAGGCCAGAATCCCGCCTCGCGCAGGCGCACTGGAGAGGAAATTCTCCTCTCTTCCCCGACCCGGGGAGCGGGAGGCCGGGAAGAGCCAGCTCCAGGTCGGCAAGGCGGACGCTGCCAGCCAGAGGCCTCTGCACGGCCGGTCCGAACCCCGGCAGGCGAGCCTGCAGGTGGTGAGCAGGCAGGTCCAGGTTCGTGGGGGCTGCCAGAGAGGCGCCAGGTCGGGCACCTGGAGGTTACACCGCAAAGGCCACATAGCCGCGTGTGAGCCTCGCTCGGACCCCGAGTGGAGCAGACAAACTGGGAAAATGAAAAACTGCCTAGAGCATTTTGCTGGCTTTGAGACAAGGCGGGGCCCCGTGGGAGGGCGGCCCCCTGACGCTGGAAAAGGCTGGAGCCTCCAGGGGGGGACACACACCGGGTGTCAGGGCCACGAGGCCGGGGCGGGGCTCCCCCGTCCTGTAGGGCCCGCCGAGGCTGTGGCTGCGTGGGGTTCGGGGCCTGCGCTAATCTGGGATGATTAATTGCACCTGTAGAGTGCAATTAACTCTGGGAAAGCAGGACCTGAACGCCCGCTTCCCTCCCCGGCTGCGTTTGGGGCGGGGACTTGGTCCTCAGCCTTCATTTATCTGTCTGTCTGTTGGCCTGTCCCTCTCTCTCTCTCTGCCTACCTGTTTATTTTATTACCAATTTTAATCCTCACCCAAAGACATGCAGATTGATTTGAGAGAGGGGGGGAGGGCAGGAGAGAGAGAGAAACACGGATCTGTTGCCAAAAAGGGCACATGCACAGGTTCCAAAAGACATGAATTTGGGGGCCACCCATGGACCCTGCCCACTGCTTTCTCATGGCCGTAATCAACCCACACAGACCCCAGAATTTTGTAAAGCTGAGTTTTCACTTTCCTTTTTTTTTTTTTTTTTAAGATTTTATTTATTTATTTTTAGAGAGGGAGGGGGAGGGAGAAAAGGAGAGAAACATCAGCTTGTGGTTGCCTCTCTCACGCCCCCTACTGAGGAACCTGGCCTGCAACCCAGGCCTGTGCCCTGACTAGGAATCAAACCAGCAGTCCTTTGGTTCACAGGCCTGTGCTCAATCCACTGAGCCACACCAGCCAGGACATCACTTCTGCGTCTTTAAAAAAGGCGTGAACACTTCCCTCACCCTGTGCGGCCCCTGGTGTCCATCCCTCTCCCCTGGGTCCCAGCGGGGCAAGCTCAGTGGTGTGTCCCCGGGTCCCTGTCCTCTACCCTCACCTGTCCATGGTCTCTCCCGCCCCTCCCACCACCCCTGGGCTCCCATGACTGACTCCTGGGGACACCTCTACCCTGCAAGGCCTCAGCCCCGGAACCTGGAGCACTGCGGTCAGACCGTTCCCTGACCACGGCCTGCCTGTGGGGACGCGGGCTCCGGGCACCACCTGCTGCATGAGACCCTGCACTGCACCCCCAGCCTGGGTGCATCCTTCGAGGGTGTGTCTGAGGAAGATAGAGAGGCCTGGCTTGTGGGAGAAATGACTCATTTACATCTGGGTGTCTCCGAAGAGGAGGAAGATACTGGTTCACTTTTAAGAGCGACCAATGGCCGTAGCCCTGGCTGACCATCAGGGAGGAGTTAGAGACAGAGCGGAGATGCCCCAGGGAAGGTCCTATGAGCTGCCCGCCTCCCACTCCCACCCCTGGGACCCAGGGTCCCAGGGTGCTGGTGGGGCGATGGCCTGGGGTCCCGAGGCCACGAGAGAGGCAGGCACAGAGGTGGCTCCTGCCCTGTCTGCACTACCTGGGAGCTGTGACAGGAGCCACATCCCCCCCCACCCCTGCTGTGGGACAGATGACTTCCTGTGTGGAACAGCAGGGAGACCAGCTGGGCAGCCAGGCTGGGCGGCTTCCCTCCCAGTGAGCGCCGCTTCTGCACGCGGTCAGCCGAGTGGCCTTGAGCCGCCTGCCTCCTTTCCCCTGCTTCCTTCTTGTTTATGACTTTTATTTAGTTCCACAGGGTGCGGGGCATGTGTTACTTCCTCCAACAGTCCCCCTCCCCGAGGAGCAAGGTGTTCACAGGGAGCTGTTGCATCCACCAACTCGAGAGACAAATTGTCAGACACTTTCAGGATTCAGAGATGTTCTTTTATTGGCCAAAGTTTTAACCTGCGCAGGGGCGGACCCTCAGAGTGTCCGGAGACGCGGCGCTCATAAGAGCTGCAAACGAGAGCCGCACTAAGCGCTTACAGCTAAGTCTTTTTATAGGCGCGAGCAAGCAAGCATTGTATAGAAGCAAATGTGGCTGTCAGCTACTGGCTACTCGGGTGGCGCGAGCAAGCAAGCATGACCTAAGCTTTCTGGGTTTTGAGTGATGGAAAAATTTTAACCTAGACACTTGAACAGGAGGTCCTCTCCTTGTTCAGCCCCATTGGTTTTGTAGTTCCGCCTTCTCCACTCCCCATGTTCTTTCCTTGTGGTTTCTGCCTCTAGGCCAAATCTCTTTAAGGCAGTTCCTATTTTAACCTCTAGTTTTCTGGTTTCAACATTCCCCCATTTCCTTGTGAGTCTAATCCTTGACTCTTCCTCGTCTTCGGAAAGAATCGTATTGGGTTGGGAGAGTACCATTAGTTTAACTACTTCTACTCTTTCTTTGATAAAGGCTAGGATTCTATTAAACACTGTGGGTCCTACGGTTAATGCTAGTATGAGGATCAACAGGGCTCCAGCAATAGCAGATGTTAGTGTGGTTAGCCAAGGGGAAGTCTTAAACATTGAAGCATACCAACTAGAGTTTTCTTTGGCTTGTTCTCTTTCCTATAATCTTTTGGCGAGCACTTTGATATTCTCTCTAATTACTCCTGAGTGATTAGCATAAAAACAACACTCTTCTCCTAATGTGGCGCATAGCCCACCTTGCTGAAGGAAAAGGAGGTCGAGCCCCCTTCTATGCTGCAGGGCTACGTCAGCAAGGGAGTCTACTCGGCGCTCTAAATATATCACTTGGTCTTGGAGTAAGGAGATATCTTTGGAGAAAGTCTGTGAAAGTTTTCTAAGACTGTTTTCTCCCTGGATGAATGCCCCTGCCCCTACAGCAGCAGATCCTAAAATCCCAATGGTGGCTATTATGGGAATTAGTAGTGGGGCTCTTCTAGCACGTTTTGGTGGTGCTAGCAAAAAGTCTGGGTTCCCTCCGTATAAGTATACTTGTGGTGTAATATAGGCACTTACACATAATTCAGGAGAGGTAGGGATGATACATTTAAAGATACCCCAAGTACGTATAAACCACAAGCCCTCTGGTGTTTTAGTAAGTGCGAGATGGCTACCGTTTTCAGGCAAGATTCTCTGGTTTAGGCAGTAGTCACTAGCCCCCCCCCCCCACATTTGTGTCTGTATCCTAGGGGGGTTATTACGTATTTTGTCTGCAAATAGTTTGGAGAAGTCTGCTTCTAGAGTTACAGGGTTAGAGTTGGTGGCAATTACGGTGCCATCAGTCGTCCTTATTAACACCCAACTCTTGTGGGTCCAGGCTATTACTTGGTACCCAATAGAGGATTAACAGTCCTAGATATTTGAAAGAGTGAGCTTTAGTGGCTTGTCGGAATCCCTCTTGACTCGTCATCCTTTAGATACCTCACCCTGTGCTTGTGCTGGCTTTACGTGGGAGAGATGTATCTAGTACGGTTTCTCTGCTACTCGGACAGCTGTTGGGGTGCTCAGCAGTACCTGGAACGGTCCTGTCCACCGAGGCTCTAGGTTACTCCGTCTATGGTTGAGAATGTACACCCACTGTCCTGGGTCAGGTGGCTCAGGCCATCGGGCGTTAGAGGTTGGGTCCGGTGAAGTCTGGTCTTGAAGGCCTCGCACTTCACTCTGGATTTGCTGTGGGGCCTGTAAGGACTTCAGGAAGTTATTATTAGAAACCTCTATTTCTTCTCTGGCCAGGCGAGGAACTAGGGGTACAGGTTGCCCAAGTAGAATCTCACAGGGCGTCCACCTGTGGAGGTACAGGTAGGGGGTACATCTTACTCTAGGGCGAAAGGGAGTAGCTCTACCCAGTTTTCGCCAGTCTCTTCTTTTAGCTTTGTTATAGTTTCTTTAAGAGTTCTATTCATTCTTTCTACCTGACCTGAACTCTGGGGTCTGTATACGCAGTGTAACTTTTAATTAATTCCCAGTCTGGTGGCTAGTTCCTGTGAAATTTTGGAAACGAAGGCCAGTCCATTATCTGAGCCTATTGCTATTGGGATGCCGTACCTTGGTATCATGTCCCTTCACAGAAGCTTGCAAACCATGGAGGCAGTCTCTCCCTTGGTCGGGAAGGCTTCTACCCGTCCCGAAAAGGTGTGATTCTCCTGGAGCCTTTCCTCGATGTCTCACAAGGGGAGGCAACGTCTGATTCTGCGCATTTACTCTAGCACAGATGCTGCATCTAGAGACAGTGGAGTGGATAATATCTCTAATATTGGGTCCTATATACTATTTCTTAATAAGTTGTTCTAACTTATTTTGCCCGAGATGAGTGCTGGCATGTCTATTTGACTATTTCTCTTACTGTCCCCTGGAGTAGGTAAAGCCTGGAGTCAGGAAGCTCTATCCACCCCTGCTGATTTTTCGGCCCCTTTAGCTGTCTTCCTTCCCGCTCTTCCTCTGGGGGGTACCTAGGATCCGGAGGCAGTGTTGGCTGAGGTAACGAGGGAAGGAGGTTTTCTTGTTTCCTTGTAGCCGCCTCCTTGGCAGCCAAGTCTGCCGGGCAGTTTCCTTTTATAACAGGGGAGTCCCCTTTCTGGCGTCCTTTGCAATGTATGATGGCAACTTTGGTGGGCAACCAAAAAGAATCTCACTACGATTCTTCACGTCTTTTCCCCCTGACGTTAGGAGGCCTCTCTCCTTATATATGGCCCCGTGGATGTGGGCGGTAGCAAATGCATAGCGGCTGTCAGTGTAGATATTGGCTATCTTCCCCTCCGCAATTTGCAAGGCCTTAGTTAGTCCAATCAACTCGGCCCTCTGTGCAGAGGTCCCTGCTGGCAACGCCACTTGCCATAGGACCTCATCCTGTGTGGTTACTGCTGCCCCTGCACACCGCTGTCCATTTTTGATAAAACTGCTGCCGTCTGTAAACGGGGTCAGGTCAGCCTTCTCATGTGCCTGGTCTCTCTGATCTGGGCGGGAGCCAGTCACCGTGTCTAGCATCTGTTTGCAGCTGTGGACTAGGGTGGATTTGGGTACTGGCAGTAGGGTCGCTGGGTTCAAGGCCGTTGTCTTAAGGAACTGAACAGTGGTGGGTGGCCAATCCTGGTTGGTTAGTTTCTGCCCGGACTCCAGGTACCCTGGCCAGCAGGGCATCTGGAACCCCCACTCCTTCCTCCTTACCTCCTTGGAAAATGGCAAGCAAGTACTCCTCAGACAGTGGGACAGTTACTTCTTTTTTTTTTCTTTTTTATTGATTATGCCATTACAGTTGTTCTATTCCCCCCCTTCATTCCCCTCCACCCTACCCCCCCATCCCCACCATTACCCCCGCACTTTAGTTTATGACCATGTGTCTCAAGTTCTTTAGATTCTATATTTCCCATGCTATTCTTACCCTCCCCTCATCTATTTTCTATCTACTGTCTATGCTACTTATTTTCTGTACCTTCTCCCCCCTTCTCCTCCTCCCACTCCCCTTTTGCTATCCCTCCTTGAGATCTTCATTTCTATGTTTCCACTCCTGATCTAGCTGTCCTTTTAGTTTGCTTTCGTTTTAGGTGTGGTTGTTAATAACTGTGAGTTTGCTGTCCTTTCACTGTTCATGTTTTTTTAACTTCTTTTTCTTAGATAAGTCCCTTTAACATTTCATGTAATAAGGCCTTGGTGATGATGAACTCCTTGAATTTGATCTTATCTGAGAAGCACTTTATCTGTCCTTCCATTCTAAATGAAAGTTTTGCTGGATAGAGCAATCTTGATTGTAGGTCCTTGGTTTTCATGACTTGAAATACCTCTTTCCAGCCCCTTCTTGCCTGTAAGGTCTCTTTTGAGAAATCCACTGACAGTCTGATAGGAACTCCTTTGTAGGTGACTGTCCCCTTAGCTCTTGCTGCTTCTAGGATTCTCTCCTTCATTTTAATTTTGGCTAATGTAATGATGATGTGCCTTGGTGTGTTCCTTCTTGGGTCCAACTTCTTTGGGACTCTCTGAGCTTCCTGGATTTCCTGGAAGTCTATTTCCTTTGCCAGACTGGGGGAAATTCTCCTTTATTATTTGTTCAAATAAGTTTTCCACTGGTGGCTGTTCCTTTCCCCCCTTCTGGTACCCCTATAATTCGGATGTTGGAGTATTTAAAGATGTCCTGGAGGTTCCTAAGACTCTCCTCATTTTTTTGAATTCTTGCTTCTTGACTCTTTTCTGTTTGGCCATTATTTGCTTTCTTCTGATCCACTCCATTGATTTGAGTCCCAGTTTCCTTTTCATCGCTATTGGTTTCCTGTGCAATTCCATTCATTTCAATTAGTTTCGCCTTCATATGTTTGTCTAATTTGTGGCTATAATCAACCAGTTCTGTGAGGATCCTGATCACCAGTGTTTTAAACTGTGCATCTGAATGTTTTGCTATTTCTTCATTGCTTAAATTTATAGGCTCTGGGGCTTTGAGATCTTCTTGAGCCATTTTTGGTCTGTTCTCGCTTCTTAAGTATGAGGTGCGGAGCCTTGGACTCTCAGGTCGCTGGGTTGTGACGCTGTACGTGGGGGCGTGGTCAGAGCGGGGAAATGGCGGCGCCCTGTGCTGCTGCTCACCGTGGGGCCTGCTCAGTCCCTTAGTCTCACCACTCACTCCCTTGCTTGTCTATCTGCGCACGAATGCGCGACCACAGTCAACCTGCAGCCCTGCTCCCTCGCTGTTTTCCCGCGGTCACTCGCTGGGTCGCTCACTAGGTCCAACCCTGCGCCTGGGTTCCGAGCGCCCAAGTCCGTCTGACCGAGTTTTCCTGTGCAACCCCGCTCCTCCAGCTGCTGGTTTCGTCTCTCTTACCGGTGAGGCTGAAGAATTTGTTGTTATCAGACTTCCGAAAAGTTCAATTTTCTGTGTTCTGGCTGTGTTTTCTGTTGCTAATATTTAGTTGTCTCTAAACTTGGTTGTGTGAGGAAGCACGGCGTCTCCACCTATGCCTCCATCTTGGCGGAAGTCCTTGGGACGGTTACTTCTAAGCCGACCTTCGCCTCCTCGTTCCCGTTCTTTGAGGGGCTCTCCTCACGTCTGAAGGTGATGGTGGCTTGGAGCTTCTGCGACAAGTCTCTGCCAAGCAGTGGGTGAGGGCAGTCTGGAATGACTAGGAAAGAGTGGCTAATGGTGCCCCGGCCTAGGTTAGTTATTCTTGCGGTAGCCCATGGATAGGCCTCTGCTTTGCCCGTTGCTCCAATTATTTTGGTCGTTGCCTTTTGAATTTGCCCCTGTGGTTGTTTCAGGACTGAGAAGGTGGCTCCCATGTCGACCAGGAAGTCTGTTGGCTCACCTTCGACCGTTAGGGTGACCATGGCTCCTGGGAGCCGACGGGATGGAGCCCTGGCCCTGTCAGTCTAAGGTTTGGAGCAGGACTTCGGGGCCTTGTTTCCGCCCTTGACTAGCGGCCTTCAACTTTGGGCAGTCGCGCTTCCAGTGCCCTCTCTCCTTGCAAAGGGCACGTTGATCTTTGTCCGTTTGCCGTCCCTGGCCCCTCCGCTGTCCTCCTTCCCCTTTGGAGGGAGGCTTCTGGGCGGCAGTCAGGATCTCGGTAACCTCTGTCGCTCTGCCAACCTCCGGGTCATCCCTGTTGACAGACACCTTCTGAGCTATTTCTAATAACTTGCTCCTGTTTTCTCCTTCAAATCCCTCTATTTTCTGAAGTTTTTCCCTGATATCTGAAGCTGCCTGAGTCACGAGGGCTATGTTAACTAGTCTCCTGTTCTCTTCTGCTTCGGGGTCTAAGGGAGTTTATACTCTGTAAGCCTCCATGAGTCTTTCTAGGAAGGCTGCTGGGAATTCCTCCCTCTCCTGAATGACTTCACTAACTTTACTGAAATTGGTCGGCTTCCCAGCTGCTGCCTTTAGTCCTCTAAGTAGAGCTTGGTGGTGCTGGAGGAGCGCGTCCCTTCCCCCTGTGGTGTTAGGGTCCCAAGCCGGGGGCTGAGTTGGGAGGACATCCTCCAGTTCCCTCCTTCCCGCTAAGGTATCCCCTTCCTCTCCGAAGACTGCCTTGGCAGCTTCCCTAGTAATCCTATCCCTCTCTTCCGAAGTGAAAAGGGTCTGCAGAATCTGCTGGCAATCATCCCAGGTGGGCTGATGGGTTCTGAATATGGTCTCAAGGAGGGAGGTTAATCCTTGAGGTTTCTCTGAAAACAGGGGGTTCTGATGTTTCCAATTGTATAAATCACTTGTGGAGAAAGGAACATAAATTAGGCGGGGAGGCGCCCGTGGTGGGGTGTCGGACACCAGTGGAGCCTCCCGGAGCAGTAAAATGAGGCATCGCTCTTGGGAGGCAAATTGGCGGCTGCTCCCTCCGGCACTGCCTCCCTCTCCCTATAATGCACTCCACTCCGAGTGTGTGGTGGGCTGATGGGTCCACCACCACCCTGCCTTGATGAGTCAGTTCCTCCCTGCGGTGGTACGGGGGAGGGGCGTTGCTGGCAGGACTGGATAGAGCTTGGGTTTATTCTGCGGCTGCTTTGGGACCGGGTCCCTGCACGGTCCCCCTTCCCCTTTTTGCTGACGTCTCCCTGTAGCTAGGCAAATTGCTCTCCTACTGCTTTGGTTCTCCTGCATACACTTCCTAATGTAGTGGAGAGCTAGGTAAGGACTCCTGCTGGCCCATTTGCACGCGCCGAAGGACCTTGGGAAGTTCAGAAACAAGAATGGTGGCAACAAGCGTAGACACAAAAACAAAAAATAATACAATGCACAGTCCCTAGACATAAATCCTGATTCTGGTTCTCGGAAAAGCGCAGTGCAAAGAGAAACGAAACCTAACGTGACCGGTCACAGTCTTACGAAACTAAAACCAAGTCCCAAGGGCGGCGTCCGTCCCGTCCCTGGGAGCCGCTGGGTGGGCTACCGGCAGCGTCCCGCCTACCACCTCAGGGTTGTCTGCTCCGGAGCCCTAGAACCAAAAGAGGATCCTCCCAGTTACTTACTCAGCCCGAGCCGTCCTTCTAGTTTCTGAACCGAAACTCCACCGGGGGAGATCTCACTGGGGCCTCCAAATGTTGCATCCACCAACGCGAGACACAAATTGTCAGAAACTTTCAGGATTCAGAGATGTTATTTTATTGGCCAAAGTTTTAACCCGCGCAGGGGCGGACCCTCAGAGTGTCTGGAGACACCGCGCTCATAAGAGCTGTAAACGAGAGCCGCGCTAAACGCTTACAGCTAAGTCTTTTTATAGGCGCGAGCAAGCAAGCATTGTATAGAAGCAGATGTGGCTGTCAGCTACTGGCTACTCGGGTGGTGCGAGCATGACCTAAGCTTTCTGGGTTTTGAGTGATGGAAAAATTTTAACCTAGACACTTGAACAGGAGGTCCTCTCCTTGTTCAGCCCCATTGGTTTTGTAGTTCCGCCTTCTCCACTCCCCATGTTCTTTCCTTGTGGTTTCTGCCTCCAGGCCAAATCTCTTTAAGGCAGTCCCTATTTTAACCTCTATTTTTCTGGTTTCAACAGGAGCCACCTACAACGTGGACTCGAGTGGCCTCACCAGACTTGGGCCGTGAAACGCCAGGCCTGTTTCACCAGCGTCACTCCACAGGCCACAGGGACACAGGCCTCTCCCACTGGGCCTGGGCCTCCGAGGGGTGGGCTGTTAATATTGAAGATCCTCCATTTCTAATGACCTAGAACTTACACGCGGTCAAGGTTTTGTTTGGCCTCCCTGTGATTTTGAAAGGACTCATGTGAAGTTTGCAGTGTTGTATAAAGAATCACACAACGGCCGTGGCTGGTGCGGCTCTGTGGACTGAGTGCTGGCCTGCGAACCAAGAAGTTGATTCAGGGGTTTGATTCCCAGTCAGCGCACACGCCTGGGTTGCAGGCCAGGTTTCCAGTGGGGGTGCACGAGAGGCAGCCGATGGATTGATTTCTCTCTCACATCCATGTACCCAGCACGCAGGACCCAGCCCGAAGGTGGGTACCCAGGTGAGGGGGGCGGGGCACTCCAGGCAGGGCAGGTGGGCGTCAGCACCGTAACCTGCACAAGGGTGGGGGCCCTGCCGGCTTCTCCTCACCCCGCCTCTTCCCCCCCCCCCCCGCCCCTGGCTAGTCCCTCAGGGAGAAGCCTATTTTCAGAGCCTGGGGCCACGGTTTCCCACGTGCACTGTGTCCTGAAGGCAGACACCCCTGGTGGTTAGTGCATTTCTGGGGCTTTTCAACCTTTTTTACTGTGTTGTTTTAAAGCAAACACATGCCACCCCGCCTCTGAGCACCGGGGCGACAGGTTTTCCAGGGAGCTGAACCCCACCCGTCGAGATTGGCTGGTAGTTTTTCTGTAGTTTGTATTACCAAAAAAGAGAAAAGGAAAAAGGAAGGAAAAGAGAATGACTAGGGTTTTTTTGTGTCTGTTTTCTCCGAATGTAATTCTGTGATTCTTCAACACAGAGACAGCTTCAGAATCGCCATCTGGAGGGTCACAGAACCGCGCCGGGAATGGTGGTTTCCCTGGGGGCTTCGAGAACGGCTGACAGGCATCGGTCCACCTGCCACACCCCAGCAGACCACAAAGGGAACCAGGTAATGGGTCTCGATTTGGGGTGTTTTTAATAAGCTTACACCAAAACCAGTGACAAGAATAGTTTATTTAACAAAATCAGAACCTGGACCTATGTGTACAATAACTATACAAATGGCAACGCCGAGGCCAACAGTTCAAGTTCACATTTAACAACCACATCGACTTCGTTCAGAAGGACCTTTCCTCATGGCTCCCCGACCCGTCTCCAGTCTCCGCCCCCAAGATGGTGACACACGCGAGGACGCGGCCAAGGCTGCAAAGCCTTCATAACTTGTTTTCCGGCTTGAGGCAGAGCACACAGACTTAAATATTCCTTGACTTAGGTTCTCACTCACTGAAAAGAAAAGCAATGTCAACGGCTTAGAGAGAAGCACAGTTGAAGCAGCAGGTAAACTCACTCGGTGCCGGCCTGCACCTCCGGCAAGGACGCGGCTCGCCATGGGCACCGTCGCGCAGCCCTGACCCAGTCCGTGTAGGAGCAGACGCTTGTTACTCAGAAAATCCAGTCGGAGCTGCTGCACAGGGACACGAGTGGGAGACTTGAAGACGCCCACGAACACCGAGCCGAGGCCAGGTGGGCCTCATCGGCGCCAGCTGCAGACGGACAGACGTGCGGATGGGAGGGACGCGCTGCTGGGCCCCGGTTCCAGCAGCCACGCCCAGCACGAGCCACTGCCGGGAAGGCACCTGCCCGCCGCCAGGGGCTCAGTCCCACTGGGCTCAGCACGTGGCCAGCGCCTCCCGGAACTCCGGTCCCCGGGCCGCAGGATGCTGGGGGCGTCAGGCCCTCCTGCTGGCAGGTGTCACCGCCCCGCTGGCCCGCGCACGCTGCCGGTCGTACCTCACAGAGATGACGAGGAAGAGCAGGAGTGTGGCGCCCTGGATGGCGGCCAGGAGGAAGAAGTAGTAGTTGAGGTGGCAGCCATTGATGTTGCCTGGGGAGGGGGGGGGAGAAAGGGGCCGTGAGCGGCACCCAAAGACAGTGGGGGAGAGTCCCGCGGTGCCTCGGCCTCTCCTGACCCCATGCGGGGGCTCAGCGGCTGAGCAAGGGACCAGGGGACGCCCTCCCAGTCACAGCTTCGGGGCTGGACAAGGACGGACACTACGCACACACGGGGAACAAACCCGCACTCCGGGCCCACTTAAAACCCGCCGTGAATCTGGAGACAGAAAACCCATCTTGGTGATTCTCTAAGGCCCACGATGCTGCCCCCCCACGGGTGTCGGCTACGAAGCCAGGTCAGGGCTGATCGGGGGACACGCTCGTTTGCCAGGGAAGGGCAGCCCCACCCTGTCAGTGTCTTCAGTAGCGATGACGATGTGACGCCAGGAAGACAAATAGGAAGCGAGGTGAAGACAGGGCCCGGTGTGACGCCGCAGGAAGGCGGGGAGCAGCCTGGCCACCACTGTCCCCGCACGGCGGCAGCACAGGCCCCGCATCTCAGGAACGTCTGAGCCCTGGGCCCCCACCCTGTCCCTCTCCAAGAGCAGGGACCGTCCTTACCGAAGTCCGAGTGGTTGCTCATCCAGCCGATGGCCTTGAGGGACACCAGCGCCAGCAGGCCCGAGCCCACGAAGGACCCGACGCCGGAGAAGAAGAAGAACAAGCCCATGACGGCGCTCTGCATGGACTTGGGCGCCGCCGCGTACGCGAACTCCAGGCCTGCGGGAGGGTGTGTGTGTGTGAGCGGCAGCGGCCGGCGCTCTGCCGACAGGACTGCGCGCGATGCTTCCCCCTCCTTGTGTGACGAGTCCCAACCGCAGTGACATGCGGAGCCACGTCTTAGCTCTCAAACAGCAGCGACCCCCGCCACCCCCACCTTTTATGGAAAGTAAGGTTGAAAGCAGCTTTTCCTGTCATCCCAACGAACGGGTGTCAGGTCACGGAGCACACACGGGCACGGGGACCTCCTCCGAGGTCGGCCTGCGGGCCCAGCAGGCACACGGAGCACCGCAGCGTGTCCCTGGTGGGGGGCCGCGGGGATGGATGGCACCCTCACCGTCCCATCAGCTGGGCTCACTCGTGTTCTCTGAGCAGCTCAGGCTCTCCAGGGATGGAGCAGCCGGTGGGAGCAGAGCCCAGGCCGCTGCCTGTGGGGTCTGAGCCCCAGCTCCGAGTGGGGACCAGTGTGCGCGCCCTCAGGGGGGCGACCACAGGGTGGGCGGCCCTGGAGTCGGTGCCACTGCCCACAGGGTCTCCCCTGCTTCGCCCCCCTTCCCTCGTGCCCTCAAGGGGGGAGAGGAGCGTGGTGGCGATGCTTCTGGGACGCGGTTTTCAGACCACAACAGGGGAGCCTCGGCCAGCACCCCCTCCCCACCCAGCTCTGTCCTGAGCCCCCCTCCGTGCACGGACGTGCGCGGCGGTGCTGCCCGGCCCGGCCCTCACCTGCTATGCTCGCAAAGATCTCGCTGACGCCTATGAGCACGTACTGGGGCACCTGCCACCAGATGGGCAGGTCGGCCGCGAAGTACACGACCTTCCCGATGGTCTGGTTGATGGTCTTCTCCTTCACGAGGTCCAGCCGCTTGCTCTCCAGGATCCCTGGAATTCACAAGAGCCGCTGCCCTTTATGCTCTGCCGTTCAACCGGAAAACAAGATGTCTGCTGCGAGCCGTTCGGGGGGCGTCCGAGAAAACCCATGGGGGGCCCAGTCGGCACCGTCATGATGACTCTGCACGGTGCCCGGGGGGCGGGGGGGTTCACTCTGTGAGAGGAGTGTCTAGTCACCACGCTGCGCCCCTGCACTAATGAGGCACGGTCAACTGTCACTGAAAACCTCTATTTCAGGAAAAGGACAGTGTCTGACAACAGCTCCCCCAGAGGTCACAGTCTCAGGGCTCTCGGCTCCTTGGCCGACACAGGTCGTGCCCCACACACCTCGTGTATTTAAAAAGGGGAGTAGGGAGCCCTGACTGGTGTGCCTCAGTGGATTGAGCACGGGCTTATGATGAACCAAAGGGTTGCTGGTTCGAGTCCCAGTCAGGGCGCATGCCTTGGTTTTGGGCCAGGTCCCCAGCATGGGCGCCTGAAAGGCAACCACAAAACGGAGTCTCCCTGCCTCTCCCCTTCCCCTCCCCTCCGTCTGAAATAAACAAACGGAGGAGGGAGCAGCAGCACTGCGCAGTGCCAGAGAGCAGAACGCCACGCCCCCACCAGCGGGCAGCGGCTCTGGGCTCCATCCCAGGGGCACGAGCCGACCCAGCGGCCACGCCCAGTGCAGGCGACCTCGGGCCCCACAGCACAGAATCCGCAGGTCCACGTCTGCTGCTCCGCACAGCGAGCCCGGAGTGACGCCTCGGCTGCGGGGCCTGACAGAGGGCGCGAGAAACCAGCCCGAGCAGGCGCAGCTGCTTCCTCCACCAGAATGTTAAAGGCGGCGTGTGGGCGGGGCCTCGGCGTGTGGGCGGGGCCTCGGGTCAAGGAGCCCGGGGCTGCTGCGCGGGCGGGGGCAGGGTCCGCTGGGAAGGGGCCGGCGTGGTGAGTGGGGGCGAGATGACTCGGGAACCTGGGCCCCCAGCCCCCCGTGGAGAGGAGGTCCGAGCAGAGAGGAGACAGTTGAAGGAGCAGGTGGGGACCCGGGAAAGCCCCGTGACAGGCACGCAGGGTCCCCACTGGGGGGCGATTCACCCTGTGGGGGCCGCTCTGTTTTCCTGATCCCACGCCCCAGAGTCTGGGTTGAAGTGACCCCTGCTACAAAGCTGCAGGCAGCATCGGACAGTGTCCGATGACACCCCCCACACTGGTGACAGAGGACCGAGGCGTCAGGCCTTAAGGTCCTGCTTCAGGGGTGAGGGCAGGGCCTGAATCCGGGTCTGAGGAGACCCACCTCCCCCAGAAAGTGCACAGGGACCCCTGCATGGGTGAGCGCGGGCCCCCTGAGGCCGGGGATGGACCCTGTGTCAAGACCCCCAGGCGGGGTTCTCAGCCCTGAGAAGGGCGAACCCCCGCCCCCCCCAGCAGGGCAGGAACCAGCCTCTGCGCTTGGTCCCGGCTCTTCCCAGAACCCAGTCCAGACGGAACGTTCTTTCAGACCCGGGACGAGCGGCGCTGGGGCGGGGGGCTGCGCTCCCCGGGGAGCCGGGCACGAGGGGCGAGGGGCGGAGGGTGGTCTGCGTGGGAGGGGACGGAGCGCGCCTCACCGGCGGCGAAGGCGGAGCACATGACGAAGAACATGCCCACGGCGATCCTCTTCAGGGACGACGGCAGCAGGCCCCGCCGCCGCAGCACCGGGTCCACCAGCCGGTCCTTGAGCGGGATGAGCAGCAGGATGAGCACCGCGTCGAACATGGTCAGCCAGGCGGCCGGGAACTGCGGGCGACACGCACGGCTCGCGGTCACGCCTCTGCCGGCCCACGGCCCGGGGGGCTGGCGTCAGGCTGGGGGGGCTGGCTTCCAGGGCATTTCTACAGAGCCTGACCCCCTTGGGAACGGTGTCGGGGTCGGACGTCTGCACCCAGGAGACGTATTTCTAGGGGGTCTGCGCCCCTCTCTCCCCACGTTAAGGCAGGGACGTCTCATTCCTCTTCACCAGGGGCCACAGCAGCCTCACGGTGCCCTTCAGAGTCGAAGGTCATGTCGACTCCTTAACAGTGAAGGCGGAGTCACAGGTACAGAGTCCTGAAGTTATTTTGGTTCTTCGAAGGCAACCGTGAGGCTGCTGTGGCCCCCAGGGAGGACGCGGAGTGTGACCCCCCTGCTGCGAGGGGGCACAGACTCGGGTGAGAACACGCACTCATCAACTAGATGCCCGGGCCGCGGCGTGAGCGGTGGGAACCGTCTGTACAAGAGGCGGGACCCACCGATGCACACGTCGGTGCGTGCTGACTGCCCCCACCAGAGGCGGCCCCGGGACAGGTGGGAGGGACCCGCGTCCCGGGAACCCGGGTGCCCGTCTCAGACCATGGCCCGTCCTCACCGTGTGCGTGGTGGCCGTGATGCTGGAGATCGCGGGAATCCGCAGGTGGAGACTCTGCAGGACATAGGTGGTCTGCATCTGCGGTGAGAAGCGGCATCATTACCGGCGCATGGTCACACTCGGCCCAGACACCTGCAGCAGGTGGCCCCCGGCTACTCGGGATGCAGAGCAGCAAGTCCGTGACAAAGGACTGAGAGCCCCCCAACCGAGACCTCAGCAGGAGGGGCGGGGCCTGGAGAAACACAAGGAGCCACTCCCAGCCTCCTCTTTGGACACAATTCCAAAACGCTTCAATCAGCAGATGTGAGCTCGTAACTAAAACGGAGATCCGAGAGTCCCGGGAAAAGACCCCCGGGCCCCCGACTCTGAGGACGGCCGAGGCCTGTGCCCGGCTCCCACCTGCAGGGGGGAAGGGGCCTGCCGTCCCACTCACTTGAAAGTACACCGTCCAATACGGTATCAGAGCCAAGAACACAGGGACGATCTTGACCAGAGCTCTCACGTCGTCCACTGTGTCTTCCGTGAAGGGCCCTCCACGGGACATCTTACATGAACCAAACAGACTGTGTTTAGAAGAAGGGTGCGGAAAGCCTCCACTGCCTTCGCTTCAGGAGACAAAATGAAGGAGTTAGTGTTCTTCCCGCCCGAGAGCGCGTCCTCCGCCACACCCTAACTCAGGGTGGGGGCGGCTGGCTGTTGCGAACCCGTTCGGCGGCATTGTCTGCCTGCGGACGGGACGCAGAGCCTCTGAGGCTGCTCCTGACCCCAGGACGCCGGGCAGCTGGCGAAGGGGCTCGGCTGCTCTGTGCCACTCTGCCCTGCGCTGTCTGGGCTTCCTTCCCACCGGGTGATTTGTCCCAGGTCCGCCCGACCACCAAACCGCGGTGATGAATGGGCGCACCGTGCGGGTGCGTTTGCAGCGTGGTCACTGCACACACGAGGGCTGCCCTGCTGGGCACGCTGGCACCTCCCTGTCAGGAAGTGCGGCGAGGAGAGGGACCAACCCAGGAGGCCCAGGCTGCTGCCCCCCTGCACTGGGGGGAGCCAGGGCACAGAGAGGGCAAGGCGTGGGCCGGGCAGCGGAGCGAAGCGGGCGGGGGTCTGAGCCCACGGCAGGGAGCTGAGGACGGCGGCCGCCCTGTGAGCCAGCCCTCAGGCCTCCCGGTCCCGGCTCCTGTGTGAACAGCTGTGCTCACTCGCCCGCCCTGGGTCTGTTTCACTCTTTATAAAATGTCCAGGTCCCAGCGGACGGCACTGAGGACCTTCTCCAGCTCTGAGACACTAATGTAGGAATGTGCTCTATGGCTCTCAGGGGCAAAACAGAAAAAAAAAGTTGTTTTAATTGCGCGGTAGTCTTCAAACCCAGAAAAAGCAGGAGATGCCCAGTCACCCGAGACCGCTCCCGGCCTGGGGAACTGACTGCGTGGCAGCTGCCAGCCCCCAAGTCTGGGAACCGCTGCCCCGCAGCAGAGCTACCAGCTGCCTCAATGGTTTCGTCTCGAAATGCTTCATTTAAACGCCAGCCTTCAGAGTAGGCCGGATGCTGAAGGAACTCAGCGTTCCATCCTACCTGGGACAGAGAAACTCACTTTCACTGAGCGCCCACTCCACGCCCACACCTGCTGGGCCTGGGCACCGGGGGCCTGTGAACACGGCTCCGGGCGGCTACTCCTGCCCTTGCGCTGCTTCGCCTCCCGGAGAAACAACCAGAGAAAAGCACAAGGCGTCACTCACACTGTCATCGCTGCTCTCATCTGGGGGGCGAGGGGGCCACAGAGGGGCGTGCAGAGCCCGTCCCACCTCACAGGGCCACGGCCACAACCTGCTGCGTCTCGCTGCCCGCGCTTTCCCGGCACACTCGGTGTCACGTGACAAATCCACTCTCACCAAGCACAGCCCACACAGGCTCCGGGCACATCCCCCACAGCCTCAGTGTCCCATTCGGCAGCACCCAAGGGTCCCCTGTAGAGCTGCGGCTCCCAGCAGCACAGGACACAGACAATACGAGGGCCGCATGCACCCACGCACGTCCCCTCCCCAGGACACCGACGTCCATGCTGGGCAGACCGCCAACTGGACTTCTCGCTCAAACTCAGCACTGAGCCATCTTCCACACGGAGCCCCAGACCAGAAGGAAAGGGCCCCGGGGGCGGGGGGGCACACACTGGGGAGCCCTCCAGACCACAGGCTTTTCTCAGGCGCAGCCACCCCCTCTCAGTGAGCCGGAGGAGGCCTCCACAGTCAGACCTGAAGGGGAGTGGCGGCCACACTCTCTCCCCAGCGTCACTGCGCACCGGCCACACGGCCCCTGTCGCCAGGGTGAGGGGCTCCACCGAAGGGTGAGGCGCGCAAGCGGCTTTCTATCTGCAGAATCCACCGCCGGGGGCGAGCCCAGCTTTCCCAAGAACTGCAGGTCAGCCAGGACCGCCGGGCGGCTGGGGGTGCCGTGCAGGGCACAGGGCAGAGCCACAAAGGCCGCTTCAGTTCAGCTTCAGTCCACCCTGGGGGAGGACACAGCCGTCGTCCGGACTCCAAGGGCAAAAATCAGACACATGCAGACCAGCCTGAGGAGGGGGGTGGGGCCGGCCCGAGGAATGTGGCTCAGCAGTCCGCTGGGGCTCGGGACGTCCCCACCCTGGGAACACCAACCTTGACCAGAACCTCCCCGCGGGGCCTGACTAAGCAGGTCCCTGGGACTTCCCTGGAGGGATGACACATACATGAGGGGCCCTGGGGACACAGTGGAACGGACTTGTCACACAGCCTGAAACTGTGTGCCCGAAAGGGGTGTATTTTACTACATGCAAATTATACTTCAACAAGTAAACCAAAAAAAATGTTCTGAGGCCTCTCCTTGGGCCACGTTCCTAACTTCCCTTTATGAATCTGCACGCAGGGCGGCTGCCCGTCCGCCCCCCGTCCCCGCGCCTGAACCACGGACTTCCCCAGGACGCAGGCTTACTGCACTCACACCAGAGCAGCAGAGCAGTGCTGGGGCGGCCGGCTGCCCTCCCAGAACTCCGTGCCGTCCTGCTGCTGCGTCCTCCGGCTACTGGCCGGCGGCAGGGACGCTGGGGGAGGTGCCGCCCACAGGGAGAGGCACCAGCGCACAGTGGGGGCACAGGGAGGGGCCACAGACGGAGCCCCTGCGGAGGTTCCCATCCACCCGGACTGACCGTGAAGCTCTCTACAGGGAGAGACGTGCGGCATACGAACCGTCCCCCAGGTGCCCGTTGAGCTTCTGCCTCCACCCAACCCAGCGGCCGGAGCCGCCCTCGCACCAACAGCGAGGGTTGCGTGCAGGTCAGAGGAAAAGCCCGCACCCCGGTCAGGCGGTCAGGGGAGACGACGCCCCACCCGCCGCCTCGCGCTGCCGTGAGGTTAAGGACACGCAGCACTGCCACCGCTCCGCCACACCCCGCACACGGAGAGCACAGGCGTGAGCAGGCGTGCGACGGCAGTGGCCGGCCCGCCCCATCGGCCCGCGCCTGTGACGGGGACGAGCGCTCACCCCCCTGGGTCGCCGTCTCCGGTGCGCTTCTGAGGGCGGCAGGAGTAGGCCAGGACCCTGAAGACGTCGGTGAAGGCGCTGCCGTCAGGCGGCTTGCTGATGAGCACGCTCTGGCCGCAGAGGAAGATGAGGAAGGCGAGGCCGATGCAGACGGCGGGCACGGTGTAGCCCACCACGAAGCTCACGTTCTGCTGAGTGTAGGCGATGCCTCCGAGTGAGAGGATGGCGCCCAGGTTGATGCTCCAGTAGAACCAGTTGAAGAACCGCCGCGTGGCCTCGGGGCCCCGATCCTTGACCTGGAGGGCACGGGAGAGAGACAGGGCACAGTGTGACCCTCTCCCAGGACGGGGCACACACCTCCACACACTGCACACTGTAGTTACAGAACCACGGTGGTTGGCACGGCCGCGCCGTTCACAGGGCCCTTCACAGACCCGCACCCTTCATCACTGCGTAGCCGGGACCGCCTTCTCCTCGGCCACACGTGAGTCCAGCAAATGCTGGGGAGCCTCAGCCACCAGCTGTGACCGCCTGCCCAGGGGACGCCTGACGGCCCCTCCCAAGTGCCGGCCCCCAGACCCACTCATTGCCGTGGGCCCCGGGCCCCGGAGTCTGCCCGGGAGCCTGCTCTCTGGGCGCTCCCGCCCGAGGCTCCAGACATCTGGAGCAGAGAAAATCACGGACCAACATGTGAACCACGGCTGCTTCCAGGTCGGCAGGGCCGGCAGTGGGGCCAGAGATGCGGGCAAGGGGACTCCCCAGAGACCCCGGAGTGCTGCCGGGGGCTCAGACGGACGCTGGCATGGCCCATGGGGCTCCGGGGGCCAACTGTCCGCGCAGGGCACGCCCTGCCGCTCCCTTCCCACCTTCCCACCGCACTCCACGCCCACTCAAGGCCACCGGGAGGGGCCGCGTGCCCACTCAGTCCGCTCCAGCCCGCATCACAGCCGGAGGCCAGGGTGGCCTGCACGCGGGGCCGGTCCAGGCCACTGTCCAGGCAGACCCTTCCGCCTCGTCCTCGCGTTACTCGTCCTGAGAGGTCAGGCAGCTTCTGTTCCGGGACAGACCCGAACTCTGGTCCTCATTACAAACACCCCTTCTCAGTAACAGACGAGGTCTGTGACGGGGCTCGAGCAACCAACCACAATGCCCAAGGAAGCAGCCCTATTACTTAATACACGACTTCAACCCATAGTTTTCACGGCTCCGGCAAGTGCCACAATGAGTATAAAGCAGCCACCCTCTCGACCTGAAAATCTAAGCTTTAAAGCAACACGTTCCAGGGAGGAAGTCCTCAGTGGGAAAGGCCCGGGGCCCTGACCAGCGGCTGGGCAACCCCCGAGGAAGCGGTGTGCGTGGGAGTTTCCCAGAATCCTGAGGGGGACAGCGACCCCGGGGACGGGCGCGTTTCAACGCGCTGAGCTGGACTCAGGGAGTCGGCCGCCCTGCAGACGGACCAGGGGCGGGGACACAGATGGTCACAGAGAGAGGCAACTGCGGACACAAACGCGCAGGGTTCTGTGGGGGGCGGGGCTGGGAGCAGGGGGGGGGGGCTGGGGGCAGGGAGTACCAATCTAAACTCACTGCAGCCCAAGCCCCCTCTCACTGAACCACGGTGTGGGCCGGCGCCCCACCGCACCCGACAGCCTCTCTGGACACAGTGCGTGGAGCAAATGGGCGCTCTCGCAGCCTAGTGGGCTCCCAGTTTCAAGATTCCACTCACCTTCACATCCTGTGCAAACCTGCCAGTCCACTCACGTACCTTTTTTACTTTATTGATTTAGAGGAGGAGGGAGAAAGAAAGAAGAACGTCAGTGTGCTGTCCCACTTACTGGTGCATTCACTGGTTGAGTCTTGTATGTGCCCCGACTGGGGAATCGAACCCGCAGCCCTGGCGTATCAGAATGATACTCTAACCAACTGAACTAGCCAGCCAGGCATTCAAACTTTCAGTTGTGATGCACCAAAGTTACTTTAGGAACCTAAGCCTGTGACTAAAGCCGTAAATAAGCACAGACCAGCAACTGTGGGCAACAAGGGGAAGCTGGCTAAACTTCCACTCACAGTCTCGTGCCTCGCAGCCCGGGGCAGACCGCCCTGTCCACCCCGTGAGGTCACCACCCCTGCCCTCCAACAAGGGCAGACACGCCTCCCCATGATGGCGGAAGGAACCACAGCCCTCAACTCCCCGGAGCACGGCAACGACCGGAATGGTGCGCAGTGAGCCAGCCGGCCGACCTGGACACGTTCCTGAGCATGCACAGGAGTGTGACTTTTCCCTCCAGAAGAAGAAACATTTCCTTTGCTCTTCACTGGTAAAAGCGGTTCTTTGTTGAGGTCACTATTTCAAGTCCTAGATCCGAACGGCGGTGACCGTGAAGAAGGTCAGACACCGGGGGGAAGTCAGGCTGGCATGTTCACCTCAAAATCTAACAGCCTTAGAACCTGGCTCCCGTCTTCCCTCCAAAGTCAGCCGAGCCCCGAGGGCCTCCCTGAGGCCCTGCGCTGCAGACAGTGAGGTCTGCGGGCACAAAACGCACCCTGATAAAACAAGAGCTTTCCTCACGGAGAGAAGGCCGCAGGTGACAAAATGACCTGCCCCGAAAACTGGCCTGGCACACTTCACGCCCCCGACCACGTCCCTGTCCCCAACCAGCCAGCACCTCTGGGGGAGCGGGGGAGCCTCTGAGCCGCCCTCCAGACCCCTAGCACAGAGCGAGGGCACGACTCCTTCCTGCTAGGAGGCTCTGCATGGAGCCTGGCTTGTGTGGGAAGCCGTCTTCCAGGACGCACGACAGGGCTCTCGTCTGTTCCCAGAGCCCAGGGGCCCCTGCTGCCACCCAACATCCCCCTCAGCCCACCTGCAGGGAGCCGGGTCCCTCTGCAGCCACCAGCGCCTGGCCACGGCCAGTCCCTCCTAGTCTGCACACACACACACACACACCTGCCGCTCTGCACAGTGCACGCCCGTGGAACCACGCACTGTGTGGCCTCCGTGGCTGGCGTCTCTCACTGAACGCCATGTTCTCGGGGGTCCTCCACGCTGCAGCCGTGGTCACAGTCTCACTCCTGCTTGTGGCTGAGTCACACCCCATCGTGTGGGTGGGCCCTATTTTGCTGTATCCATGTAAAAAATCCCTTCATAAAGATCTCTTTCAACTGTTCATTAAATCGTCTTTAAACTGGTAGAAAAGTTGAAAGAACAGTAAGACACACATTCTATGCCCTTCTCTCACACCCGTAGTCCTTTCTTTCCACACACGTGTGAAACACTCGTTGAGGCTCAACGGTTCGAAAACAAGTGGCAGCATCACGTTCCTGCCAAAGCTGCCACCGCGACTCTCCTAAAGCCCAGGCCAGCCTCACAGGGCCACAGCACCGTCCTCCTACCGCGGAACCTTCACATCACAGTTCCATCTGCTGCGGGCCCATGATCGAATTATCCCGACTGTCCAGAGAAAAAGCTTTTGAAACACCTGGGCCCTCACCCCGAGCACACTCGGCAGCTGCCCGTCAGGCCTCCCTGGTAGCCGTGTCTGGCAGGGTCCCTGTCCCGCACGACGGCGTCGGGCTGAGGTGGCAGGCCAGCCTCCTTGCAGGAGAGCACGCATCTCCCTTTAGTGCCCACGCTCAGTTACGCATCAAGCAAGAGCGAGTCCTGCCATGCGCTCTAGGTCACCTCTGCAGGGCCGTCTGTGCTTTTTTTTTTTAAGATTTTATTTATTTATCTTTAGAGGGGAAGGGACAGAGAGGGGGAGAGAAACATCAATGTACGGTTGCCTTTCATGCATCCCCTGCTGGGAACTGGCCTGCAGGGAACTAGCCTGCAACCCAGGCATGTGCCCTGACTGGGAATCGAACCACGGCTGTCTGGTTCGCAGGCCCGCGCTCAATCCACTGAGCTACACCAGCCAGGGCCCGTCTGTGCTTTTAAGAAGCCGTTCGTTTCTCATCTGCCGTCTACCGGGGGCACTAACTTTGAGGCCAGGCCCTCTGTTTCTTGTAAAACAGGCACCGCAACAGTGTATCGGACATTGGCAGGCTGGCATGAGTCAGCGTGGGGAGAGCCCTCTGAGCAGTAAGGGGCGGACACGCGAGATACACTGCAGTCATGTGACCAGGCCTTCAGCAACAGAAGGCGATTGTGCGCCGGCTCCTGCCCTCGCTGCTGGCCCCCGAGGCCAAAGTCACAAGCCTGGGCCTTGAGACCCAGCCCGACACCCATCATCACAACTATCCCCCCCCATTATAAAGTGTCGCAATCCTGTGACGAGGAGCACCACACAGGTGTGGTTCAAGCTCAGATCTGCAGCACAGGCTCTGGGATCCCGGCTCAGTCACACACTGGCCGTGTCACATGGAGCAACAGAGCTAACCTCTCAGGCCTCGTGTTTCCTCATGTGTAAAATGGCGGCTTGTGGACAAATAATGCCCAGCACAGGGCCTGGTGAGGAGCAGGCCCTCTGCGAACATGACCAAGCACAGGGTCACTCAGCACAAAACCTGGTGGTTTTCTTCCCTGCTGCTCACCCCTCCTCCCTAACCTGTCCTGGCCCTCCCACCACTTGGCGGTGGAAGCCTCCCACCAGGTTCCCTCGCTGTCCCCACTGCCCACACAGCCTAGTCTCAGCACTGGGCCTCCACAAGCTCGTTCTGAGAAGGGGAAGAGAAGAAACATTTCAGGTTTCGAGAGACCTAAAATGTCTGTCACAACTACCCAACCTGCTGCTGGGGGGAGGGGGGGCAGCAGACCCTCCAAACGGGCTGGGCCCTCCCAACAAGGCTTCCGTCCATGGAAGCTGAAACCGAGTTCCGCAACTTCCACTGTCACAAAACACTCATTTCCCCCACCACTTAAACGCTCCAGACCCAGTCTTATTCTTAGCCCCCAAAACAGGAAGTAGCCAGATTTGGCTGCCAGGACAAAGCTGCCAGGCCTCTGGGCTGCAGAGGCCAAATCTGTTAGAAACGCAAATCAGATCAGATCACGCCCTGACAGAATCCACACAGGTGTTGCAAATCAGATCAGATCACGCCCTGCTAGAATCCACACAGGTGTGGATGGTGATGAACACAGACCTCAAGCTTCTTAGTGCGCCCTGCCTACCACCCTATTCCCGCTTAAAAAAATACACTTGACATGTAACCTTGTATAAGTTTAAGAGGGAAAGAAGTGTTGACTTTATACATTTATGTGTTGCAACGTAGTTGCTGCTGTAGCCACAATAGTAACAAGGGCTTCCTCTCCTCCAGGCCTTCGGGCGCTTGCTCTTGCCCACGATATTCCGCAGGTGTCCGCTCAATCCGCCCCTCTATTGACAGGGGGTCCCACCACCTGCAGCCACCCTCGCCAGCACTCCCAAATGGCACTTCCCAGGAAGCAGGCCGCTTCTACGCGCAGCTCCCCCTCGCAGCCCACCCGCGCGGACCCCTCCTCCGCCCCTCCCACAGCCAGTCCTCCCGGCCTCGGCGCGTCCGGGCCCCCCGCCGGCCGCACCTGTGCTCACCTGGTCCGCACCGAAGGGAGTGATGTTGGCCTTGACCGCGCCCACACCCAGACCGACCACCGCGAGCGCCCCGAGCGCGGCGGGCGCGCAGTAGCGGGCGGGCGGATCCAGGCAGGAGGGCGCCGAGCAGTTGCGGATGCGCGTGGGGTGAGGGGTCCCGCAGAGCGCGGCGCGCGTGTTGGGCGCGGCCAGCAGCGGGAAAGCCAGCATGCCGAGCAGGTAGAGCGCTAGGCTGAGCAGGATGGCGCGCGCCCGGCCGAGCCGCGCGTCAGCCAGCCAGCCGCCGAAAGGCGACACCAGGTAGGTGAGGCCCATGAAGAGCAGTAGCGCCTGGCTGGCCTGCGCGCCCTCCCAGTGGAAGGGCGCGCCGTTCAGGAACAGCACCAGGTTGGCCGTGACGCCGTAGAAGGCGGCGCGCTCCAGCAGCTCCGTCAGCAGCACCGCGGCGCAGGCCAGGCGCCGCCCCTCGAACGCCGCCCGCCGCGCGCCCAGCAGCGGCGCCCGCTCCTCGGCGCACCGCTCCGCGCCCTCCATGAACCCGCCGGTCGGCTCAGCCTCTCTGCCCGGCCCTGCGGGGCGCCCCTCTCGCGAGACCCGCCCCGCCGGCCGCCTAGGCCCGCCCCTCGAGCGTTCTCATTGGCAGCCCTCCGGGAGCTTCCGGTGTCGCCCCGGAAGCTCGTCAGGGAGGGGCCGTCAGTTCAGCGATCTTAGGGGCCAGCCGGCGGAGGCGCGAGCAAGCCCCGGACTGGGCATTTCTGAGCCGGGCTCTCCGAGGTCGCAAAGCCCCGCTCGGGAAAATCCGGACCGTTTGCGGCGGTCCGGGGGTCCGCCCGTCCCACCGACGTCCCCGCGCCCCCTCCTGGCGCTCCTGCCCGAGGACGGGGTCTCGGTCTGCGCTCGCTGCCCCGTGGGCAGCTGCTGCGCGGGCGGGGGCGCTGTGCTGTGCCCGGTGGCCCCGGAGCGCCCCCCTGGCCTCTGCGGTCCCCTGGATGCCACTTATGCCCCAGCTCCTAAGTCGTCGTCACCACCGAAAATGTCCCCGGACACCTCCCCCCCACACACACACACACAGTGGCCCCTGGGCGGCCAAGTCGCCCCCATTGAAAACCACGGTCCTAGAACAAGCCGAGCCCAGAGCCCGTTTCCTTGCCACGTGCCTGGCACCCTGCTGCCCTCCACGTCTGGACGTCTGGAGCGGTGATTCCTCAGAGCATTTCCTTTTCCTCCCCCCCCCCCCCACGGGTCCATTTAAATCCGACCCCGCCAGGTCCCATTACCCTGCTTCACTTTCTCCAGGGGACCTGCCATGTTTTTGTTCATTCCTTTGTCTTCCCAGCTGGTCTGTGGTCCCCACAAGTACAGGGGGCAGGGCCCTTCCCTCTCTTGTTCCTCCGCATGCGCCCCTGGAACCCACATAGGTGCCGGGCACACAGTGGGGCGACCGCTAATGGGTCCGGGGCTTCCGTAGCAACGGAACTTTCTAAAACAATGGTGGTGGCGTAAGTCTGTGAAAAACCATGGTTCTGAAAACCATCGGATTGAACACTTTAAGTGGATGAGCTGTGCAGCACGTGAAGGCTGTTGTCCCTAAAAAAGTGAGTTAATGCCTAAAAAGTGGGAGGTCTCACTTGGGTACTTGCATGCCCTGCTGTTGAAAAAAGGAACATGAGCCCTGGCAACACTGGGGCTTGTGGCCCTGCCTTACACCAGCGACCAGCCAGTGAATCCTGGCAGGGCCAGGCCAGGCCTCCCACCTGCCTGGGGCACAATGAGGCAGAAGTGTCCCCGGGCCAGGTGCAGGCCCCAGCCTGAAGGTCTGGCAGCTTCTGGTGGTGAGTCTTTAAGGGCCCTGAACTCTGGGGGGCAGAGCCCAGCAGTGTTGCTGCCCTCACGGGTGGAGGGACAGTCAGCAACTACATGGCGCGGGGGCAGCACCCCAGCTGAGCGGAGCCAAGCGAGGGCCAGAGCACCCGGAGCCCTGCCCCCTCGGCCTCAACCCCAATCACAGAATCTCGAACAAGGAAAACAGGGGTTACTTTAAACCAGTAAGTGCCAGGGGGTAGATACTCACCTTCGGATCATGCAGATGCACCTGTCTACCCCCACAGGCCTAGAGCAGCAGGCAGCTTCCAGCACACCTGCGTCTGCCCCTCTCTCTCCTGTCTCGTCTTTCTTACAATAAAGAAATTATTCTCCACGTCTGCACTGTCCAGAGCCTCTAAGCCTCCTGTGGCCTTTTGCCCTGATATTGCTTCATATTTAATAAAGTGAAAATTCTGCCCTTCCTGCACACCAGCCACGTTGCACATGCTCAGCAGGCACAGGTGACTAGTGACAGCCATGCTGGGCATCATTCCACCGGCGCAGAGTCCTGTCGGGCGGCCCTGCTTTTTGCCGGTGCGCATGGCTGGCCTCGCCCCACATCCACACCCCCTTCTCCCCACCGGAATCCCGATGCCACTCAGGTGTTTATGAACTGCTTGTCCTCACCCACCCTGCTCCCCACCCACCGCCCATGCAGACAGGGAGAGGTGAACTTCACCTTCATCTCTGGATCTGCCTGGGAAGACTGGAGCTGGTCTCTTCCACACGGGCAGGAGGCAGGGAGCCGCAGCTTCTGATGGCTTCTGGTGGCGGCTTGCTGAACTGGCTCAGGACGGGGCTGCCTTGGTGGCCGGCACAGCAGAGGCGCAGGGAGAAGTTGGATAATAAACTTCGGTTGTGTTACTCACCCTGTTGGGTTTCCTTATAATGAAAAGCCACCTACTGGAATCCTATCAAAAAAGTGGGAAAGCAAAAGAAAGAATGGGAAGGCAGCTGGCACTTTTTCCCCTCACGTTGGGTGCAGTTTGCTCACAGGGTGACCTGCCTGGGCCCTGTCATCGGTGACTAGCGGCCCCTGGGCTAAGCCCCAGAGGTCGTATCACTCAAGACTCGGTGTAAGTTGACACCTGCCACTCTGTGGGGGACACCTGCGTCTGGGAGCATTTTGTGAATCTCTCCTGTGTACAAAGCATCAAACAAAGAAGTGACCTTGAACACAGACCAGGTGTCCCCAGGATGGGCCACGTCCCCTGACAAGGTACAGCTCTGTGGGTGCACTCAGGGCCCCCGGAGAAGGAGGGCCTGGCTGCCAGGACACCGGGGGTATGAAGAGAAGCCAGGACACTCGCCCCTGCCTTGCCCACTGCCGCCCAGCCCCTGTGCCCTGCTCAGTGCAGAGCGTAGAGCAGGCGACAGCTTGACACGGAAGCCACCCGAGACCGAGGACATTTCAGGGGCCGGCAGGTTTCTCTGGCATTTTCTGTGACACTTCTGCCTCTCCTTCCACAGCTGAGTCCCCCACCCCCGTGGTCCCATCTGCCCACTCAGTTTCAGCTTCCTCAAAACGCTGCTGTTCGAGCAGCTGCTGCCGTAGCCTCTGTGCCTCCCGACGTCACTCACCTGCTCCCCACGTCGTGGGGGCTCGGTGCCACAGGCACGGCCCACGCTTCTGCTCGGCTGGGTCCCAGTTCCCCGCAGAGCTCACCCTCGGGCGCCGGGCTGGGGCCCGTGTCCTTAGCCACAGCACAGTCGTGGGCTCTGCCGAGGAGCTGTTGGCTCTCCAGGGTCGGGGCCTTGTCATGGGTTCAGTTTCCTTCCAGGAGTCCCTGTTGCCACACTCTGCCTGGCTTCAGGTAACCTTTGCAGGGGCAAGAAATAAAAGAACCAGGATAGAGCCAACCAACGCGATGGGACTTTACATTCATGCACACGGACCGTGGCCACGCGAGCCCCCCACTTCCCCCAGCCCCAGGCCAGGTCATCCAGTTCTCGGGGTGACTCGGGATTTAGGTTTGCAGAGGATGTGAGAGTGTGGCCGAGTGGCCAGGACAGTGGGTTTGGACGTGGCCTTTTTTCAAGCTCTCATGTTACGGCACTCTCAGGAACAGCAACCTCCCACTTCTTGGGTTCTTTCAAGCCTGCATTTCAAGAACCCACAAGACACCTGCGAGGGTTGGGGACTTGCCGGCAGAGAGGGAGGGAGGCGAGGGGCCGAGTGAAAGCGAAAGACTGCGGATTCTCACTTCCTCCCGCTTGAAGAAGTGAGGGTGTTAGCCAACGCGGGACCACGCCCAGCTGTGCTTAGCACTAGCACTTGCACAATTCCTTGCACGTGTCTGAGTCTGTACTGCAATCACATGACAACCGCGAGTTAGTTGTAAGTGTGTTTGATTTTTAGATCGGGACTCACAGGAAAGATCGATAGAGACGAATACAAAGGACGAGAGTGGAAGCGCTACACAGCTCAGCCCATCGTGACAAAGGCATCACCGGCCCGTGGGGAAGGCAGGGGGTGCAGGGAATTCCACGGAAGACACGCACTGCTGGGAAAGGGAAGTTCTCAGGGCGGGGCGCCTTCCCAAGCCTGTAACACGAAAGCCGTAGAGGAGAAGCTCACCGATTCGGTCACAGACTTAAAACGAATGTGTGTAAAAAATAATTTCAGTTAACGGCAAACTGAAAAATATGTTCGAAATACACATGGCAAAGGTGATGCCCTTGTTTGTAAGGAGTTCTCAGGAATTGTACGCAGCGCATTTGGGTAAACGCCCCAAATTGAAGTCGTCAGGGTGAACGTGCAGAGGACAGCTGTCCTCTGACCCTCGGCACCTTCTCCTTCTCTGGGACCAGACCCATGATTTCCTGCTTAACCCATGGTCCTGGGGTTCAGGTGGGACAGGCGGGGCCCCTAGGCCAGGAGTCCTCAGCTGATCAGGCCTGTCCACTCGGCAGCAGCCCTCTGTGGATTCCGCAAGATCCGCTCAAGGATGAGCATGTGACCCAACTTGACCCCTGACGTGTTCTGGGGTGACCACAAAAAAAACTGATTTCTCTTTCTGCTGGATTTGTCATTATGATGATACAAACCTGGACTTCCCAGGGCCCATGACATGAAAACCAAGTGTGAAACTACCGGAAGAAGGTAGAGGTGGGGAAAGACCTAGTTTCGGAATGACATTTGCTAGGCCTTGGGTCTGACCTCGGCTTAAAGAAGCCCTTTCGCCTCCCTGGGTCTGTCATGTGTGAGCCCCTTTGTTCTCTTTCTGTCGAGTCAAGTGTGGCTCTCTGTCACTTGGAACCGAAAAGTCCCAACTCATTCAAGCAACACATACACGTGCAGACACACAGAGGAAAGAAAAAAGGCACATGTCCCATGAAAAAAACAGTCTGAATTACACCAGTAATTTAAAAACGCAGAGAGAGGGGAGACATATCTTGTCACTTGCACTAGAAAATCCCCGGTGTTGCCAGTGTTTGGGGAAATGAGTGACCTTGTAATCAGTCGATGGAAAGTCAACATTTCTCGAGGGCAGGCAGTCACGTGTGGCGGAACCACGCCTGCAATTCCCCTTCCAGGGATCCCAGGATGTGTCCAGAGACTTGGCTCTAAAGTGTTCACCACAATGTTGCTTAAAATAGCGAAGAGACTGGAAGCGGCAAAGACGTGGCATGAGAAGGCACTGAGAAAATGCAGGGCAGGGCACCGTTCACTGGGATACTGTGTAGCTATTCAAATGACTTTGTAGAAGCAGGCGTCTGGGGTGGAAAAGCACTCCTGATATGTTACTGGATTAGTTTTCCATTGCTGTGTAACCCAACACCCATCAATCAGCCTGCAGGACTGTGGGGCTGAGGTGGGCGTGGCTGACCCCCCACCTGGGCTCCTTCCCGGTTGTGAGGAGTCTGGTTCTTGGAGGCAAGAACCAGGTGCCCGTTACCTGCTGGCTGTCAGCTGGGAACTACCCTCTGCCCCTGGACCCTGCCAGCGTCCCTGGCCATGCAGCCCCGTCACCCCCAAAGCCAGCAACAGGGAGTCGCCCACGCCAAACCCCTGTCATGCTTTGACTTCCAACGTCAGGAGATGTCCAGTCTCTTGAAAGGGACCGCTTCTGGGTGAGACCCACCCTGCTTTATGAGCATCTCATCTGGGACTGTGGTCCCACCTGCAGAGTCCCTTCCGACCACCACCTGGGGGGGGGGGTGTTGGATTGAATGATGGAGAAGGTATCAAACAGGAGGCGGGGCGTCGTGGGGGCCAGGTTAGAATTTTGCTTGCTACAATGACTAAGTAAAAAAAGAGCCAATCCAAAAAATAATAATAAGAAAAGTATGTATAGAGTGTTCCTATTTTTGTGACGACAAACAAACCAAAAAAGACTGTCCATAAAGCGGAGCCAAAGAAACGTGGTGGAATCCACACCGTCACGTCCTGTCTCGGCTTCCTCCGCTGTAAGGGGGTGAGAAGGTCCCACGCAGGGCGGGCAGCTGACCACAGGACACTGCAGGACACTCAGGACACCACGTGGCCCCGGGGAGCGCCCGGCACCCCGACTGCTTCACAGAGACTGGAAAAACCTGAGATTGAAGTGTGAATAGTGGTATCTCAGCGCAGCAGGATTCTGCGTGGCTGTAAATCCCATTCAGTTCGTGTGTGTGTGTGTGTGTGTGTGTGTGTGTGTTAAACACCTACTGGTTGTGAAACAAAAGTGAGTGAACAACTTACAAGAGGAAACGTGGACCTCGGGGCAGGCCCGGTTGCTGCCGGGCGCAGGCAAAGCGCCGTCCCTGCGGCAGCCCGCCCCGTGCACAGGCCTGGACCGCGGCCTTGGCGAGATCGGAGGCGCAGCGCACGCCACCGGGCCCTCTGCCTCCTCGGGCCGAGGTGACAGCCCCTGGGGTGAGCGCCCCCTTGCGGGAGAGTGAGGACTCAGCCGGTCTCTGGTCCGCGGGCACAGGAGGGCTGTTTTCTCCCGGAATCACCTCGTTCTGGGGACTTCCTCAGGCTCAGCAAGCAACCCAAGAAGGAACTAATTACCAGCAGCTTTTATGGGGTGGAGGGGGCTGGAGAGAGTGTCACTTTCAAGACCTGCCAGTGAAAGGCAGGAAAAGGAAACAAGCAGGACTTTAAAGCCACAGTTCTACTCGGACCTTCTCCTTTGGGAGGGGATAGTGCGCCCCCCTCCCCCCATGTATATGTTCAGCATTTGTGGTCCTCGAGACTCGGGGGTGGGGGGGAGGATGGGAGCCTCGGTGGAAAGGACGAAGGCGCCTGCCTCCCTCGCGGGTCCCACGGAGGCGCCAACCAGGGGAAAGGATGTCAAGTGCTGATTTCTATCACAGAACCGTTCCCACAGTCAGTGTGCCCACGGCGCTCTCCCTGGAAAACGCTATCATTTTTATACAAGGTAGATCATAAAATCTCGTTTTCCCCGGTGCCGGAAACTAGAGAAATAATCCGAGCAAACGCCACGACCCCAGGAGAGGCAGACCCTGTTCTGGAGGCGTCTGGAGAGCTCCCGGACCCCCACCATCTTCACTGGTCTTCTCCCCTCCCCGGGTGACCGTTTCTGCGTCCCTGCACAATGACCCCTCCGTCTCGGTCCCCATGTATATACCTCCCACCTGGGAGGTTGGAGAAGGACCTCATCAAGATGAGCTAATTCATTATGATTCTGCTTGCGGCTTTTCTCATTTTACAGACCGCGGAGGGAAGCAGTGAACGGCTGAAGCGCGGGCCCCAGAAGATGCATCGGTATCTCTTAACTTACGGGGCGGGTGTGTTCCCCCAAAATGGGGCAAGAGCACTTAGGCCCAGTGAGCCCCGCTCCAGCCCCGGCCCCACTGAGGGTCAGGAGTGCAGTCACGCAGGAATGCAGCCTCCCATGGGGGCCGGTTCCAAGGCTTTAATTCGACACACCCCTGTGGAGTGCCCTTTCTCAGAACATTCCCCCAGGCAGCGCACCGGGAGCTGCGGGGAGCTCAGCACCCAGGGGAGAGGGAGGGGCTGGCTGCCCCGTGAGGACAGAAGAGACCTCGGGAGGCGGGGAGAGGAGGGGACAGTTACAGATGAGGCCACAGAGCCATAAGTGAAACGGAGCCTCCTTAGTGGCTGAATGGGGGCCCCAAAAGGGTGTGTACACATCCCGGTCCCTGGGGCCTTGCCATCTCTTGGTGAGTGGTGTTCGATTCAGTGGCAATGTGCCCAGGTAAGGGACTGCCCTTCCCAGCCGCCTTGGATGGTGGAGGTGGTCATGTGGCCAATAAGATAAACAGCATAAGGACTGTGTGACGTCCCAGAAGGAGCCCAGAAAATAAAACGCACCGTTTCCGGTGCGCTTCCTTCCCAGTGCGTGGCCCGGGGTCGGAGGGCTGGGTCCCCACAGACACATGGCACCTCCGGGCCACCCTGAGACCAGGGGACCAGCCCCCGGAGGCTGGGGCGGGGGGGAGAGAGGCCTCCGTCTGTCCCTGGTATGAGCAGGGCCAAGAAAGAAACTGATTTCTGAGGACCAAGCTGGCTTTCAGCAAAGCCTGCCTCTGTCTTTTCCCTGTAAGCATCTCTCTCCAGCACCTGTTGCAGGGTGGGGGGGTCCCCAGACCACTTCGACGGGTTGCTGCCACAGTGGAATTGATTTTTGCTCAACGGGAACATTTTAAAGACAATTCAGTGTGTCCTTGAACACACCCCAGGGGGCTGGGACTTTTTAGTGCTGGTCACCCTGGGAAGGATGGCTTCCCTTGTCAAAGCTCCCATTTTTCAAAAGGTAGAAGAAATCCTGGTGCCGGCGCCCTGGGAGGGGACAACAGCCACCCTGGTCCCTGGGGGATGGAATTGGCAATCACCCCCATATTCTGATCCATGAGGTGGGGGCCGGTCGACCCCTGGTCCCCTTGGGAGCAACCCGCAGCCACCCCTGGTCCGTGTGTCTGTCCGGGCGGTGCGGGGGCGTGGCTACCCCTGGTCTCCCTGGGAAGGGACCCCAGGTCACCCCTAAGGCTGGTCTCCATTGGAGCAGACCTACGGCCGCGCCTGGTCGCCTGGGACCCCATGGAGTCCATCCACAGTCCCTTCTGGTTCCTCTGGTCCGGGCCGTGCGCCCCCGCCCCCAGCAGGCGCCCCCTCGCGGCCCCGCGTTCCGGGACCCCCGGCGCAGGAACCGGCGAGCGCGGGCGCCGCCTCGGGAGTCGCGGGCCCGACTAACCGAGCCCCGCCGTCGCCGCCGGGGTCCGTCCCGTCCCCGCCCCGGTCCCCGCCCCCGGGCCGGTCCCGGCGGGGCGGTCGATGGCCGGGGGGCGGCATGCGGCTCCTGTTCCTGGCGGTGCTGCGGCCGCACACGGGCAACGCGGTCACGGCCCAGCGCATCAGGTAGGTGCCGCGGCGCCCAGCACCGCCGAGCGGCCGGGGCCGGGGCGCGGGTTCGGCCTGGCCTCCGCGATCCGCGCGCGCCAACGGCCGGCCGGGAGGCTGCGGGGGCGCGGAGGGCTGGAGAAGGGCCCCGCGCAGGACCCTGCCCCCACCCCGGCCCCGCAGCTCGGGCTGCGGGGCCGACCGGCTCGGGGAGGATGCTCGCGTGCCGCCCGCGCTGGCCCGCGCGTGCCCGGCCTGGCCGAGGCTTTCTGCGCCCGGTGAGCGCCCTGGCCGCGGGCCTCGGGGACGCTTACCTTCCCTGGGGGACAGGACAGCCAGAATAAAAACACGTGGACCGCCCGGTGACAGAGGGATACTGTCACAGGGCCAGGGCTGCGCGTGCGCAGGTGCCATTTCAGGCGGGGTGCCGGGTGGCCCGCGGGCCAGCGGAGGGGGGACCCCCGAAGCTGCGCGCGCGGCAGGGGTCGGGGAGGGCAGCGAGGGCGCAGGGCCCCCGGCGGCCTCCTCCGCGGTCCGCTCCGCGCCGGTGTCTGGGTCCCGCGGGCCAAAGCGCCCCTCCCCCTGCGCCCGGCATTCCCGGTTTTCATCATCCTGGCTGGGTGGTTGTTGCTGCTGTTGTTTTAATTTTTAACTTTATTTTTAAATTAGAATTATTTTTTCAATTACAGTGAACATTCAATTTTATATTCGTTTCAGGTATGCATTATAGTGGTCAGCTGACTGGTTATCTTCCTAACAGTTACTTTTCCTGCAATGATTTCGAATTCTGTGTTCTGCCCCCCCAAACCTTGCTCTTTCTCTTCTCCTCCCTGACGGTGGCCCCCAGGGCAGGAACCGGCGGGGACATGGCTGCCCCTCTGAATACAGGCTCCTCTTCTCTCTCTCTCTTTTTTGCAACAAACTGACTTGCTCGTGAAATTTCCCAATTTACTTCCTGCTGTGCGTCTGCTCCCTCATCACTGACATGAGCAGCAGGGGCCAGTGACGCCCTTGGCGCACCTTCCGCCCTCGCCTGCCAGTCCCCACCGAGTCCCCTGGAGACCCCGAGTGGGACCGGCCGGCAGCTTCCTTGCAGTCCCGTGGGGGGGGGGGGTCCAGCAGGTGGCACATCCTCAGGCCACCCCGGCGGCTCTGCCCGTGGGTGGGGGGACTCTGCCTGAGGGACCAGAATGAAGGAGGCCATTTCAGGTAGTGCTGGTGACGTTCAAGCTAGGACCTCGGTGACGAAAGGAGGCAGCCAGTCGGAGATCAGGGGTGATGGGCTGTAGTGATTTGGGGGGCAGTCAGGGAGAGACACTGCAGGCCCAGCTGGGCCTGGGTCCCTGGTGGGGGTGTGGCCAGTCCAGGAGCCTGCACGGGCCCATGGCTCACCGGCCTCAAGGGGTGGGCCGCAGGTCTGGGGGCGCAGAGCGGGGTCCAGCCAGCCTCCACCCGCCCCGGCTGCACACGTTTCCAGGAGAACGTCTCAGCTCTGACCAGCCTCCGCCACCCAGGCAAACGGCTCAGGTCGGGGCTGCTCAGAGCGAAGGTTAAAAGCGACTCTGGTGGGCAACAAATCAGGGGCAAAACCCTGGAAGACAGAGTTCGTTTCACACTCGACAAAGACACGCATCGCACAAGTCACCAGCGTAAAAGAAACACACAGGCGGGGCTGCGACGGCCAGGTGAGGGCTGCCCAGGGCACTCCCACTGCGCCGAGCTAGGCGGCAGGACCAGCGGCTGCCCGAGGGTAAACCGAGGCTGTCGAGTCCAGGGCAGCGATTTCCCACAGGTGTGCGGCAGGCGGCGTTAGCACACCCCACAGAGGCGACCCGGTGTGCGGTCCTCTCACCTAAAACCCGTGCACCCGCGGTTCACCCCGAGAGGACACTCAGGCTCGGGGTCCAGGCGGCTTCCCCTCGTTCTCTCTCCTGTGGGTCAGAAATTCTCGAAATGTTGCCCAGAGACCACGTTTCACAGTCCGGCTCAGCCAACGTCTCCCCTCCCACCAATGAGGGAGCAAGCACATCGCCGTGGTCACGGCGCTGCCACCCCGACCCAGCACGTGTGGGGTTCCTGTTTCCTGTGTCAGGATCACGCCGGGTCTTAGTAAGAAGTGAGAAACATGCCCTGGCTGGTGTAGCTCAGTGGATTGAGCGCGGGCCTGCGAACCAGACAATCGCGGTTCTATTCCCAGTCAGGGCACATGCCTTGGTTGCAGACCAGTTCCCTGCAGGCCAGTTCCCAGCAGGGGACGCACGAAAGGCAACCATACATTGATGTTTCTCTCCCTCTCTTCTTGCCTTCCCCTCTAAAGATAAAGAAATAAAATATTTAAAAAAAGTGAGAAACAGCTTTGGCCGGTGGCTCAGTTGGTTGGAGCCCTGTCCCGTGCACCAAAGTGTTGTGGGTTCGATCCTCTGTGGCAACCTGTCGATGCTTCTCTCTCACATCAATGTTTCTCTCTCTCTCTCACTCTTTCTCACATCCTGCCCCTTCTTCTCTCTTAAAATCAATAATAAATATTTAAAAATATAAGTGAGTAAGAGATGCCTAAAACCAAACTGTGGGTGTCACTGGTAAAGAAGGGACAGGAGGACACAGTGGCCTACAGGCTGCAGAGGAGCCTGTTGGCTCAGCAGGTGCCACCGAACAACGTCCCCGAGAGCCTGAGTCTGCAGGCGGCCAGCACTCCCCGAATGAGCCGTCGCCCCGCTGGCCCGGCCCCCGGCACAGCCCGGGGTCTCCGAGGCCGGTGAGGGGCAGCTGCCCGGGCCCACCAGCCCCGTGCTGCGTTCTGGGCGGACGGCCAGGGCGGGGCCTCGGCGGACACACTCTGCCGGCCCTTGGGTTCGAATCATCCTCTGATTTGGATTCTTAATCCGGGCAGCAGCCCGAGCTGCGTGCTGTGTCCGCCCACCCATCTCTCTCTCTGCTCCTCTGTTCTGGTCTAGGGACCATCTTGAAGCCGCAGGCCACGTGTGCGTTCTGAAGGACGCCCTGGACTATGACAGCCGGTCCGAGGTGGCGGAGCTCATCCGGGCGGCGGAGGTGGAGGCGGCCCTGGCGCTGCACGCCTACAGGGCGGGCCGGCTCCTGCGAGGTAGGCGACCCTTTGTCCTCCACGGGCCACGCCGGGGACTCAGCAGCCGAGCTCCTGCACCCTCCAATGACACACGGGCGAAGGGCCTGTCCTGCTCCTTTGGGCCCCGAGCGGGAGGAGCTCAGTGACCTTCCTGCCGTGCTTTTCCTCCAGGAGTGATTTTCTAGAACGCGTAACTAACTACTGAGAACGGCCTCGCACAGAAGTGCACGCTGCCGAGTGGCGGCGCCCGAACGTTCCGATGCAGCTTCCCTGGCTGGCAAGACCGTTTTCAGAAGTTATCACCCCCCTGGGGACACGAGGCAGGTCTTTGGCAAAACCCAGCAGCCCTAATTCTAGGATGCTTTATTAAATCGCTTACCTAACTTCCAGTCCGTCCAGCGCCCCGTAACCTGGCTTCTGCATCGTGGCAGTTCCCCCCTCCGTGAGTCAGGTGACTGAGTCTTTCTCAGGTGCCCACTCTGATTTTTAAATGTGAGTCTAAGGGCGTTCCTTACGCTGAGCTGGTTAGCAACCTCGCTCCTGCCCGCCTGGGTTCCCCTTCCCTGTAACCGAGTCCCAGACTCTGAGAACCAGGGCATGGACATCCCTGGCGGCCATCACAGTGCCCACCACAGATGTCCCTCCAGTCCCCAGGGCCTCATGTCTGGGCCGTGTGCTGGAACCATTCACCCTGTCTGCGCACCCCTCCCGGTCTAACCCCACTGCAGAGCGAGAGCTGCCGTGCTGGGTGGTCTGCATGCCTGTCCGTGTGGATCTGGGGGGAGGTCCGACTCGTCCACAGGGAGAAATGCAAACAGTGTGAGGTGTCACAGAGCAGAAACTAAGTTCCTCCCATGTCCGGGACCTCTGGCCCTCTGGGTCCCTCCCCTAGAGGTCCTGGCAGCCAGTATGTGTGTGTGTTTGTGTGTCCTTGAACCGATGTCCTGTGTCCCCAGAAGTGTGTGTTTATCCTGTTGGCACACACAGCAGGTCGGTCATGGGGCACTTGGTGTCTTCTCTTTGCAGTAGGTTTTGTCGTTCAGGCCGCACGAGTGTCAACCTGCGCCTGTGTGCACACTCACACACACTCACACACACTTGTTAACAGCATTTGAGTTGTTTGTTGTGTTTTGCCGTATCCAGCAGCCTTGCTACCCCCACACGAGGTGGTGTTGTGTGTAGTGTCCAGATGCGGTGTCCCTAGCAGGGCCGTGCCGGGGGACAGCCCTCAGCGGGGAGAGAGGAAGGGTCACTCTGCTCTCCGGCCGATGGACAGAAACTACTCCGAGGCCGACAGAGCGGAAGCCCAGCCTGTCACTCACTCGAGTTGAGTCCCGGGAGCCGTGGCTCACTGGACAAACCCCGGCAGCCAGGGGCTCGAGTTAGGTCTGGTCTCTGGCGGTGTGACATTTGAGTTGACCTTCAGAAGTTCTCCAGGGAGTCCCGGTGGCTGAGCTCCCCGTTTGGCGGGACCTGTGTAGGGAGGTCGCGCCTGTTGTTCGTTATGAGCCACAGTCTGAAGCCCCCATTTCTGTGGTGAGCCCTGACGGTCCCAGATCTACCCGTTGCCGCAGCAGGATCGGCTCCGATTCGTAGGTGGGGGGCCATGCGTGCTCACTCGTGAGGTCGCCTTGCAGTGGCCCTGACCAGGGGCCGGTGTCTCGCCCGGCCAGTCCCGTGTGCTGCCTGTCACCATCACACCGGCCCCACCCTTCGCGAGAGTTGGGGTACACCTGCGCTGGCAGCCGGTCTGGGTCCCTGAGCCCCGGGGACCCGTGTCTAACGCCACGGCTCTGGGACGGGTCGGCGAGGGCTGTCCCCAAAGCGCCCTCTGCTTTCCCGCGGTGCAGGTCACGGGATCCCGTTCGGAATCGTCTTCGGAGGAACCGACTTAAACGAAGACGTGACCCAGGGAGAGAAACAGCGAGTGATGGGAGGGGTCCTGGCGGAGGCCAGGTACGTGGGGCGCGGCCCTCCGGGCGGGTTCGCGGACTCGGAGGCCCAGGAGGCGCGAGCTCGGAGGTTGGCCTCTCCCCGTGGGAAGCCGACCTCTTTCTCCTCCCATTTCATTTTTCTGTCACTTGGCACTTTTTTATTATTTTGCGGTGAATGGTCCTTGTAAACCAGTCGCTGCAGTTGAGTGAGTCCTTGACTGCAGGTGGCACTGGATGAGTGCTCCTGGGACACCCTGCGTGGCCAGACCACATGAGTGGTGGCGCTCGGAGGTCACGAGGCCGGTGGGCTCCGGCTTCCCCGACCCTCAGACCCGAGTCACGTGGCCCCAGCCCCGCCCACATGTGGCATCATGGGCGTGGCCTCGTCTCCACGGATTTTCCCAACCATATAAACCAGAGGGGCGAAGCTGCCTCTCTCATCAGGCGCTGGGGGCATCGGGGTGGGACGGTCGTTCACTGTGGGCCCTGGACTCCACCCGCCAGGTGCTGCCAGGATCCGACACACCTGTGGCCCCCGGCAGGTGAGGTCATTGCCCTGCACGCACCTGTTGCGATCCCACCTCCCTAAAACAGCCCACTCTGAGTGCGTGTGTGACACACTAGACGGTGGTGCGAACACAGCAGAGCTCGCCTCGAACGGTGCTCTGTCCTCACAGGCTTGCTCGTGCGGTTCGTACCCTCAGTGTGCGACCGGTGCGTCCAGTCCGGGAGGCACCGGCTCACGGACGGAAAATAACTCTGCCCGGGAGGCGCAGAGGTGGAGGAGCTCCTCCCACACCGTTGTCATCAGCGCCACTCATCACGCTGCTGTCCGAACACACGGTGGCCCCCCGTGGGGGGGGTCAGGGTTCATGGGTGGGAAGGCGCTGCCCTGCTCTCGGAACCACTGTCACGTCGCTTTTCTGTCCTGTTTCCCCGAATGCAGCGTATTTGCCTTCTGGTCACCGTTCAGGGTTCCTGGGAGGGACTCGCAAACCGACCCCGCTGCCCTGACCTAGTCCTGCGCCACCCGTGTGTGGGGCTCAGGGGCCCCAGTGGGGGACGCGTCTGGACCAGTGGCCTCATGGCAGGAGGATGAAGGGATGACGGCAGGGCTCGGGGAAGACGCCGGCAGGGGACGGCCGCGCCCTCTCGGTCACAGTGCTGGGGGGGAATCAGCCATCCACGGCTCCGTGCCTCAGCCTTCACTCCCCTGTGGGCCTGGGGGCAGATGGGTGACTGCCTCCCTCGCCACTGCACCGATGAACGGAACTCTGCTGTGAGGAGGAGCTGTCTGGGGGTGTATGTGGACAATCTGGGTGCACCCAGGAAGCCTTGCCCATGCGCCATGGTCTTCCTTGGGCCGAGCTAGTGGGCAGGGCTGCGGCCCTTGGAGGGTCCGGGTGGACTCAGGGAGGCCCCAGCCCCTGTTCTCCGTGTCTGGCTCCCTGGCACCTTCCTTGCTCCCCTGACCTTGTGGGGCGGCCACAGGACGGTAGGACGTCTCTGAGCTTCTTTGTTGCATGTGCCATTTTCTGGGTGTGCGCTGGTGCCTGGCAGTGAGGAAGATGGATGGCCTGCCTGGCCGGGCCTCTCACCTCGTCCCTCAGGCCCTGTCCCGGAGCCGCTCCACGGTCACGGTCCCTGACTCCGCCCTGACGTCGGCTCCCTTCTTCTTCTTCCTCTCGGCAGGTTCGCCGTGGCGTTCACGGAGACCATGAAGGCAGCGGCGGGCCTGCAGTGGGTACGTGTTTGTGTGTGCCGCGCTCGGATCGCGGCCGTGGCGGGGGCGTGGCGGGACGTGGGACGGAGAGGCCACTCCCCAGGGACCCACAGCGCCCCGTCCATCCGCCGGAGCTCATGGGGTGGTCTGCAGGCCCAAGGGCTGACGCAGCAGCGGGTGTGCCTTCCCAGATGGGTGTCTGTTTGAAGCGCTTTAAAGTGTCGTGTTCTTTGTGGCGCTGAGAATTAACGCACAGGCTGCCCTTCCTGGTCACGGTGGCTCAGGGGGCAGGTGCCAGGAGCGGGTGCCTGCCACAGACAGGCAGAGCCGCCCCAAAGGCCATTCCCTAGGGGTGGTGGGGAGAGGTGGCCAGGAGCCCGTGTCCCCGGTCCTGGTCCCCGTGCTGGCCCCTTTGCCAGCGCCCCCGTGGCACACACATTATTCCTGCGGCAACATTTCACAGGCCAAACACATGCTTCATGGAATCTCGACCTGTAAAGCCGAGCACCAGGAAACTGCTGCTTCGGGACAAGGACAGACGCAGCCGTGGGTGGCGCCAGTTGCAGAACTCAGACTGCTGGGCACATGCAGGCGGCGCCCTGAGGGTCAGTGAGAGAGCAGGCCTCCTGCTCACCCAAACTCTCCCTGGCCCAGAGCCTGGGGGGCGAGGCGGGGGGGGGCGTTTCTCAGCAGCGTCTGGCGCCCGGTGAGCCTCGGGGTAAAGAAGGCCAAGTTCCTGTCTCCCCGGGACCCCGTCTGCCGACCCCTCTGGCCTCAGAGGGTCCCGTGGAATGGTGGCCCGTGGTGTGGGGTCCCCTCCACGAAGCCCCGTTTCCTAGTGCTAAGAAGCATTTGTCCGGGTTTTTTTATTTTAAAAAAAAAAAAATATATATATAAAAAAAAAAATATTTTAAAAAAATAAATTAAATTTTTAATTTTTTTCCCCGGTCCTTTAGAAGCCCCAAAAATATTAATATACTAAAAAAAAAAAAATAAAAAAACCAAGCAAGCGAGGAGACCCGACACCTGACCCTTAGAGCCACCGAGGCCGAGGCGCGGCGTGTCCCTGCCTCTCCCGGTCTCCACTCACAGTTGGACGGAAAGCACTGGAGTGTCCTAAAAACGATTGATTCTGTTACACATTAACCGCAGAATACATTTTTGAAACGTCCTGTGTGCGGAACCAGGAAGACCCAGAACACCCTCCGGCCGCGTTCTGGATTGCAAGTGAACTGGCTGCTGTTCAGCGCGGTTCTGTTCTCTTCCTCTGAGAGGCGATCTGAATATTCTACAACCGCACATTCAGACGGTCCCTTACCGACGAGTGACGGGAGCCAGCCCCTCCCGGGGAAGCAGTGGGCAGTGTCGTTGCCGGTGGGGACACACGCGTGTGGAGCAGGGGTCAGAGTTCCGGAAAGGCTGCCCGCGTCCCCCAGGAAGACCCCCCCCAGGGGGCCAGCTTCAGGTCCACACCTGTGATTTCTTCTGTTTTGGGGTATTGTGTAATGAAGCGCCCTGACATTCAGAAGATCTCGAGGGGCCAGTAGTTTCCAAACGGCGGCTGCGTGGTGTGCACCACAGGCCACGTGAGGGGGAGAGGGACCTGAAGGAAACCGCGCCTGGTGTGTCTGCAGGTGCCGGTTTGCAGCGGGAGACAGAGGTCAGGCTCCGTACAGGTGACGCGGGAAGCAGGAGCGTGATTACTCTGAACACTGACTAAAAGCACGGATGAATTAGGTCTGGGGCGGGCTGGGCGGCCACGGGGACAACGTCTCGGAGGGCGGGCCGCCCAAGGGTCAGCGTACATCTCAGGGGGAAGCGGACCCTTCGCCAGCCGCGTCTGTCTGCTCAGCAACAGACGTCCCCCCGGGCCCGGCAGCTGTCCTGGTGCCCAGAAAGACGCTCCTCGGTTTGCAGTCGCCGGGCAGCTGGCCGGGAACCGAGAGAGCAGCCCAGACGCTGACTCCCAGAGGGCGACGTGAGAGTCCCCCCAATAACAACCTGATGAGCCGCAGGATGGATTCCTTACGTAGTTCAAAGTGGTGGGAGTTACTTATCAAATTCCAACATGGGCCTGCGTTTTAATACAATTTTTGGGGGGAGCAGGTGATTTTTAATAAAGTTCAACTCAGTATCTTCATTCAATTAGTTTTTGCCAATAAAAACGATGCATAAATAATATATAGGTTTATTATTCAGCCGTATTTAGGTAGGTATTTCAGATGGGTTTTTTTTTTTTCTGTAGAGACACTGATTTTATTTGTGTTTTCCGAACAGCAGCACCGCTTCTGGGTAATTAAGTTCTGCCCTTCATTGTTGAGCCACCGGCTTCTGTTTTCAATTTCGCGTTCTCTGTTTTGGAGAGCGGGGCGGTTCAGGCTGCGTGTGGGCTGGTCCGGCCTCGTTATTATCAACCCGGAATCCAGTTCCGATAACCTCAGATGAGAATGATCTGTGGCGTCGGCTGCTTATTGCTTTTGTGATTTCAAAAGGCGGATTATATAAGATGCAGGGCTGGTGTGGAGAGATGTAGCTCTGAGCGTTCTGGTCTAAAGCTGGTGTTTTCTCGAACTTCACTGAAGTGGGAACACTCATCTGCTCGGGCTCGCTCTCTGGGTCCGTGCAGCTGGGAGAAATAAAATGCAGCCCGCGAAAGTGAGCCGCGATGTGCCTGTAAATGTTCCAGTAGCTGCATTTTTAAAGATTTTATTTATTTATCTTTTCAGAGGGGAAGGGAAGGAGAAAGGAAGAGAAATATCAATGTGTGGTTGCCTCTCATGCGTCCCCAGCTGGGAACTGGCCTGCAACCCAGGCATGTGCCCTGACTGGGAATCAAACCGCGGTTTTTCGGTTCTCAGGCCCGCGCTCAATCCACTGAGCTACACCAGCCAGGGCCAGTAGCCACATTTTAAAAAGTGAGTGGCAACAAGTAAAACCAGTTTCAACAGCACACTGTGTTTCACTGCCAAGTTTAAGGGTTCCGTCTCCAAGACCGCCCGCACTTTGACACCAACTGCAAGTTCAGGCGGTTCCCAGAAGCCCCCAAGTTTGAAGACTGGCTGGAAGGGCTCACAGAACCGGAGACTCACTGGCTGCTTCCCGGGAAAGGGTGCCGAGTGCACCGAGCCCGGAGAAGGGGCACCTGGGGCCGACGGACACAGAGGCATCCTACCCTCTGATCACCGATCTGGTACAACAAGCCCGGAATGTTGCCGACCCGGGAGGCTCCCCCGAGACTGCCGCCCGAAATCCTTATTGGAGCTTCATTACGTACGCTTGATTGATTGGCTAATTCACTGCCCACCTCCTGGACCTGAAGTCCCCACCTGGCATCACAGGTGGGCTTTCTGGCTGTGGCCAGCCCCACCCTAAACAAAGACACACCTCTTGGAAATCACATTGAATTGTTCCCAGGAGCCAAGGGTTGTTTGCCAGACCCCTCCCTGGCCAAGGCCAGGTTCTTTACTCTCACCCACGAGATCCAAAATCTTACCATTAAGACACGAAGGCCACAGACCAATGACTGGCCCTAAGTCCTGGAAACCCAGCGCACCCTTGACCCTCAGGGTCTTGCTCTGATCGGACCAGCTCCCCGTCAGCTGCTCAGAGGCCCCACGAGGCCGGCGGCTGCTTTGTGGGGGCCAAACCTGCACTCGAGTGGGGGGGGTGCCGGGTTCCGAGAAGGCTCAGCCACAACGGCAGGGATGCGCCAGGGTGGGGGAGGTCAGCCCTCTGGGAGAGCTTCGAAGACGCGATTTTGGAGGCTGCGCTCCTATCTCCGGCTGATCCCACAAAACTTAGTTTGATTGGGTTTCAGGGAAGACAGCCTTATTTTATCTCTTTCATCGAAAACATCTCTGCGGGGCTCCGGTCGTGACGTTGGAAGTGACGCTTCTGTCACACGTCACTCGACAGGACAGCACACCTCCCCCGTGGGGTGTGTTCACCATGCAGTGAGCGCTCACTGCGCAAGTCCAGCCGAGGGCGGGCAGCGTCCCTCCGGTTTGTGAGGGCACAACCCCTGCTTGTCACTTGTGGGGACTGGACTCACGGTCCCTGCCTCACCGTGACACGGGCTTTGTGGGGACGCAGATGTGGTCTGCGTAGAATTCAGATTTCCTACGAGAGCCGTGTGCAGATCTGGGCCCTTGTGGGTCTGGTCCAAAGTTGTGATGCTCTCTCTGACGTCATCAGGCATTCACCAGAAAATGAAACTAGTTAAATATTTCAGCAAAAAGTTGAAGAAACAAATCAGTTGTGTATAAAGGCGCTTCACTGGGCAGAAGCAGTTTAAATGGTCTACATCGGGCCCCAAACCCCACAGGTCTGTGAAGGTGTAACTGGACCGTTCTCACCCTTGTCCCCATAAGTACCGATGAGAGGACTTGCCCTAATATTGCAAATATCTGCCGATAAACTATCCTCGGACAATCTTGAGCTGGAGTAAATACTGCCTGATGACCCAAATGACTCATCCGTCCCCTGACTGCATTAGCCCTGAACCGAGCACCCAGGTGGGGTTATGTTTCGGCGATCTTTTCTTAAATTTGGAAACTTTGAGTCACCGCCTTCTGGGGCCTGATTTACCTCCCTTGCCTGGGCACTTGTTCAAGAAAAATCACTTTGTCACAGCCGTTGGAAGGTGTCGGAGAGCAAGACAGGTTTCCCGGGCTGTCACCTGCGTGGCCTGGGGCACAGGTGAGCTCAGGTGCTGAAGCCAGGGGCCAACGCCGGCCTAACGGGGCCAAGCTGCCCGCCCGATCAGTGCGGAGTGTCCAGCACCGCCGTCCTCTCCTGCGAACCACGTAACAACTTTTTCCTGGGAGGTCTGTCACTTTGTATCTGATTGTGTCCGAAAACCACGTGGGCAGGACCATACCTCTCGCTACATTTTCCACCCCGGTGGATGGAGCCTTAGAAGCGTTTGTCTCCTCACTTCATCTTCAAACCCTCGGGTGTGCAGCCGGCCCCTCCCTGCCACGAGTACCCGAGAGGGGAAGTCCAGGGCCGGCTCGGAGCCCTCGAAGCTAATCATTTCTAATAACTTCTATCAGGATTGGCTTTTCCTCAGAGGCATCTTCGTGCAGCTGCAAATGTTCTTTGCAGTGCTTCTCCCCAGGTGAGATCCCTGGGGATGGAAAAGTTTTAAAATAACCCAAGGGGTGGAAAACTCATCGGCGCCCGTGCCGCAGGGCTCCCACACTGGGCACCAGCCACAGCGTCCCTTCCGAGTCACCGAGCTGTAGAGGCAGTCGGGCCGGGAAGCTTTGAGCAAAACCGACAATGATTCTGAGCTGTTGACGCCACAGATTTCACTGTTTTTTGTTCCTTTTTTTTAAAACTTTTCTTGGAACTGGCCGGTTGGTATTCCTATTTCCCGAGCCACTGGACCGGGTCAGCCCTTCCCTCCCACCCGGGGCTTTGCCAGGGTCGTGGCGGCTTCAGTCTCCGTCCTCCGGACCCCTGCACGGCCGACGGCAGGGAACCGGGCCCCGGTCTGGTTTTCTGGTTCCTCCTCGTGTTATTCTTGGGCACCTTCTTTTCTGGAAAAATCTTCCTCCGTCTGGTTCAGGGGTTGGAGTCCAGGGACAAGGCCTAAAAGATCATTGTTTTCTTTCCTTGCTTGAAAACAGCTTTCTACAGAAAGAGGAGGAGGAGACGAGAGGAGACCCGTGTGGCCTGGGCAGCGCCCAGCCTCTGGTCACTTTTTTTTTGGCAGGTGCGTGTTTCCAGAGCTTCGCCCTCCGGGGCCGGGGCCCCCTTTCAGGGATTCGGGCGCTTCTGAAAGTCCTTCCAGCATCATCCACACTTGCAATTTCAAAGAAAAAGTGAACGTTTTTTCCCACGTGTAAAGGATGAAATTGGGCATAGATTTCAAGAATAACATTTGTTGTGGCTTCCACCCGCAAGAAGTTTGATTTTGGAAGGAGAGGTTAATCGGAGAAGGGGACCCCGCTGTGTTGTTGCCGGCTGGCCACTCGCCCGTGGGGAAATGGCATTGGGTGCATCCCGGGTCCCAGGCCCCGGGGCTGCAGGGGTCAGTCCCAAGGGACCTGGGCTCCCTCGGGCCAGGGCAGACCGAGCGATGCTTCTCACAGACGCTGAGAATGGAGACTCCTGCCCCCGACACACCAGCAGGCACACACGGGCACAGACACGCACACGCTTGAGCGCAGCGCCCTCTCCTGGACTTCACGCCTCCACACGCCAGTCTTGCCTGGCTGGTTTCTCACTAGGACTTTAACTCTTCGCGCTATTTCGAGGCAAGTGAAGCGAGCGAAGAAAGCTAATTCGTATTTGGAACTTTTTTAACAGAGAAAGGGCTTTCTCAGAATCACAGGCCAGTTGGCGTTCACCAGATTTCTTCTGGTACGATGATTAAAAATAGCCCGGGTGGCGTTCGTTTGTACACCACGGTGCTGTTTTCCGGATTTGCTCCGATAGGATCTTCAAGTGTGTCGATGTTTTAAAAGTCTGTAGAGGACGTAATACTTATTTTTTCCGGGTGCTCCACACGTTTCAGGGGAACCGTGCTCAGAGATTTGTGGAGAGTGGCGCTGAAACCCCGAGGTGCCAGCAGGGCCCATCCCCTGCCGCTCACAGAGTGAAGATTCCAGGTGAAGGAAGGTTTGTTGGTGTGAAAGAAAGTTATGGAGACTTAGGTCGAGCCCGTTCGTGTCAAACTCCTGCGTGAACCTCCCGGTCGGGACGCCCCGCAAGCAGTGACTCAGGTCAGGGCTCCGCGCCCCCCGGCAGACGCCTGCGAGACAGTCCCAGACGCCACGCGGGTCCCAGAAGAGGTTCCCTCGCCTCCCCCTTCCTTCTTCATCTTTCCAGGGATGTTCGAGCCGAGAAGAATGCAGGGCGCTCTGGACTTCAACGTCCAATGTCAAGTGGTTGCTCTTAAGCAGTTTCTCAGTAAAGTTCACATTTTTAAAAAATAAAGGAAGAGATTTTCAGAGCTTTTTTTTTAACGTTTTCTGGTCCATGGGCATTTTGAAAGGCGCCCCCTCCCCGCTGTGAGGCGCCTCGCGGACGACAGGCCAGGCTTTCGGAGGGGTCTCAGGGGCTTCTCGCGGGCGGCGCCTTTCCACCCACCAGGCAGAGGGCGGGACCCCCACGTCCCCCACACGGCGGGACACGCCCTTGGCTTCTCTCCCAAACGCAGACCTGACGGGAGGGTGGAGGTGGAAGGGATCAGCAGACCGAGCGCGGTCCCCCGACTCCACTCAGGTCACAGGCCGGCCTTGTCCTCTGCTCTCACATTGGGGTGCAGGGACCAGAGTCGCGACTTCTGTGATCGGCTTTCAAGGGCTAGTTTCGTCCTCTCGTGCACCCACCAGATGTCTCAGACGTACGACGCACAGGTGACCCTCGCAGGGTTTGTCTCACCAACAGGACCCTTTGGGGGAGCGGATTTTTGCTCTCGACCCCCTGTGACAACCTCCCCCACTGTTGGGGCTACTCCTGACTTTAAAACCATTTACGCTAATGGTGCCGGAATGAGCGCAAGACACGGATTCCTTCCCTCCCAGTAGCTCTGTGAGGGCCACAGGAGAGCGGCCACAGGAACAGTGACTCCCTTTCTGGGTACGAATGTCTAGGTCGGTCCTGCAGGGGCTGCCCTTCCTGACGTCACTGAGGCGCTCAGGCGTCCCTCCAGGGTCCCCCAGAGAGTCTGCTCGCACGCCGGGACAAGTCATACCCTGGTGGCTGCAACACACTGTGCTCCCTCCCTCCCTCCCCCTCCTCCTTCTCCCTTCTCGGTCCCTCCCCTCCTCTCCCTCCTCATGCCCCTCTTCCTTCTACAAAGCGGGGGGTGGGGTGTATTCTCCCCACTCACAGATGTGCACCCCCAAACCACAGCTCCCCAAATGCCTGCCCTCCACATCAGCACACACCCCAGGTGGGCTCCGTCACAGGCCTGTCCTGGTGGGAGCTTCAGTAACACCACTGCTAACCCGACGGGGAGACGAACCGAGGTGTCAGGCCTGGTCTCAGGGGCCTGGTTCCCGGTGCTTCTCACCGTCCAGATGCTGTGTTTCCGACGCACCAACGGCCCCTGAGCGCGGAGGCGGCCTTCGCTCTCACAAACCAGCTGTGTAGTTCCTGCTTTGTGACGCTTTCTTGGAAAACCGAAAACCGTGTTGGGGCTTTCATTCGTTGTAATGTGAAAAGCCACAGTAACAGACTATGGGCTTGACTTGCTTTTTCTTCCTTCCCTCTTTCCAACAGCCGCACGCTAAGGATAAGATCTACGTCCAGACTCAAGGTGAGAATTTGTAAATATGTATGGAAAAACTTGGCCCTTCTGTTTTGGAGACACGAGCGGAAATGTGTGTGGATGGATGGACACGATGTCGGAGATTTCCCTAAGAAACGGTGCATGAACCCACTTCCATTACTTCCCAACACTAACATATAAGATAAATAGGAGAAAACGGTGAAATGATAGTTTAAAATGCAGCTCGCTTAACCTTTTGACCAGTGGAAGTACCACACCCCCCTGCGTCCTTTCCTGGGCCCCTGGGGGTACCTGTGTGGGACAGCAAACCCCCCGAGGTGCCTGGCAGCAGTGGGGGGAAGGGACGTTCCCGAGAAGAACCCGGAACTGATTCCAGCCTGAGGCCAAGGTCAGGAGTTCAAGTTCCTCTTACACCCAGCTCAGCGGCCCTTCATGATGGCTGGGCCCCGGTGGCTTTGGTGACATTAGCATCAGAGCCGCTGGCCCCTCATCAAAGGGACTGCTCCTCAGAGACCTCCCATGAGGGGCTCATGAGGGTGGGGGCAGGAGGGGGTGGCGCCCCCTCTCCTCTGCCGGGGCCTGAGCCACCGCGAGGAACGCGCTGGTCAGCGGGGACGCCGCAGCTCCACAGGGGTTTGAACAGAGCCCCTGCCCACTCACACGTGTTCTGAGGGGGACATCAGCCCGCAAAGTTCCCACGGGGGTGGTGTAGATAGAAATAAAGAGTCATCCAGGCCGTAAGCCTGTGCCTGCAGGAAAAGGGGAAGCTACTCCCTCCAGTGGGGGTGCCCCGAGCCCTTCTCCCACAGGCTTTTGTTAGTGTTGGGGAAGGCAGAGGGACACAGCACAAGTGCACAGTTATCAACCAGTGTCCACCGGCTCTAGTCATAAAAAACTGGCACTATCTGTAGATGACAGTTGAAGAAACACAGGAATTGTTCCAGCTTGGGGTCTGAGAGACAGGCAGACGCCAGATGTCTGTGACAGACAGACATCATGAAGTAGGGGTTTCACTCCTTATGCCTTGAACTCAGACATCTGGGTTATACCGACAGGGTTTTATTGCCCGCAGAGCCGGCTTCAGAGGACAAAAGTGTGCATTCAGGCCTGAGTCCCACGCACCCTCGGTGCTAGAACCGAGTCATGCCTGCCACCTGCATAATGACCTGGTTTTCCAGGGAGACTCACCAGCCCCTTTTGGATCTTGCTCTCGTGAAGCCACGATCTCAAATCTGCACTGAGCGGTCCCCGCCAGTTTCCAACACCACTGAGGTTCTTTGAACCTCAGTCTCCAGCCAGATAAACCAGGGGTCCCCCGCACTCAGCAGGCTGTAGGGTTGGGGGCACCGTGGCACTCACACCCCAGAAGCCTGTGACCGGCCGGGGCCCTCGTTCCCCCTCAGGAAATGTCCAAGGTGCCCTGCTCCCGACGTGATCTGTTCCTAAGGACTGAAGTGGCCCCGAAGGACCGAGTGGAGCCACCATTGCATGTCAACACCAAGCCACTGGTCATGTCTCAGCCACCTGAACTTTCTTTTTTTCTTTCCTCCGGCCCAGGAATCGCGACTTCGCCCAGCACCGCCTTTCGCTGGGACACCTTTCTCCAGCGTGTAGGTGAGAGAGGGCGCCGGGGCGGGGGTGGGGGGTGGTTCTGGCCGGAGTGCGGACACAACTCAGTTCACCTGGGCGGCGCACCGCATCTCAGGATTTGGGGACAGAGGCTGCCCAGTCGTTGGCCGGTGCAGGTCGAATGAGGGACAAGGTGCCACCAGGTGGAGTGAGGCAAGGTCAGGGGGACGGCCTGGTTGCCCCGATCTGGGAGACGCCCCCCAGGAGGGAGCAGCCGGACACCGAGCCTCCTGACACCTGTCCTAGCTTGCAGCACCCGGGGGCGGGGCAGGGGTCTGTCACTCCACGCCACATTCGAGCTTCCAGGTGCCACCCGCCCCCCACCCCCGGGCTCATCACGTGGAACTGTCAGTCACACACAGAGTAAAGGGCCTTTGCAGAGACGTGGGAAAGGAGTCAGATGGACGAACACACAGAGACCTGAGACCTGAGATCAGCACCAAGTGGGGACCCCCTGTGGGAGTGTCCGGTGGTCTCTCCCCACCGCTTTAGGTGCATAGTGATTTTTATGGATTTGCATATGATTTTAGCTATATTCCTTATTATAGCTCTTACCTATTATATTTTTGTCTTCAAAATCATTCTATATTTTAAAAAAGTAATGGAACAATAAATGATAAAAATAAAACATCACTATAAAACATTTATAATATGCAATTATAAGTTTATTACATATAACTATATTTTTACAATAGATAAAATTATATTTTGTAAAATATAAAATTATATATATGGTCATAGCTATATATATTTAATGTGTAGTATGACCTTACTGGGGGGATTTTATTCTTCTGGATGGTGTCGCACATGTTTTTTTTTTTTTTACTTGACTGAAACGTTTCTGAATCGAGTTTCTAATCGGCTCCGCTGGCCTGCAGGAGCTCGCTGGGCTTTCGCGCCGGCGTCGACTCCGCAGTCTCCTGCGTCTAGCTGCTCGTTCCCAGTGTGCCGAGCCCCTGCGTGTCTTTGCTGTGTTGCTTTGACTTCTCGAACCGGTCCGACCCGTCCCTTTTGTTGGCCCCTTGGGTCGTTTCTGACCTGACACGCAGCCCCGAAGGAGCCGGGGCTTGGTCTTCCCGCTCACCTGCCCATTGTCCTCCGAGGGGCTGCAGGTGCTCAGGCTGGAGCGGTGGGTGCAGGGCTGGTGCTGGGCCCCCAACCCGAGCGTCAGGGTCTCGCCGAACCGCTCCCAGACGGCAGCGCCACCCACCCATCCGTCCGAGAGCCTGGGGGCCCTGCGCCCTGATGCCCAGGGACTGGGGAGTCTGGCCCTCGTATTTCCCTGCATGGCCGTGATGCTTACACTAAAAAAACAGCCCTGGGCAATGTCTGTAAGTCTCGGGCACTGAGTTGTGCGCAGGGAGGCCCCGGGGTGCCTGCTCCTTGGGCTGCAAGCCTGACACCCCCGGGACCCTGGCCAAGGCCCCAGAACGGCTAACAGTTCTGGGCCCGACAAGTTCGGACCCAGAAGGGACCAAAAGTGCGAAGTCAGGTTCCTGCTGCCGGCAAACTTGAGGGGCCCTGAAGCCTGCTTTCGCTCTAGAAACTTCAGGCCAAGCCTGTGCTGCATGTCGAGTGTCAGCGTCAGGCCCCCCGAAGAGACAGCAAGGCCCCGGCGTTTCGTGAGAAGTGACTTCCGAGTGCCCCCCTCCATCTGGGCCCGGGGAGCGGAGCCCCGGCCCGCCTACACGGCCGGGTGTCCTTCGGGGCCTGTGGGCCCAGCTCCAAGGGGCCGTGGCGCGGTCATTCCATCTTCTGCACGCCGCAGGACATGGGTTTGTCAGTGAGGATGAGGTCTCACGGGTCTCACTATCGAGTGGCTCGGGGAACAGCCAGGAGATTTGAAATTCTCCTTAGGGAACGTTTCCTGAGGGCCCATTCGGCCACACTGTCACTGTGATGGGTGCAGCTGAATGCCAGAGACGGCTGCCAGGTCCACAGGCGGGGGTGGGGGCACCGGTGCGTGTAGCCAGCTGGGCTAGCAGCTGGCTTTGGGGTCAGAGGTTGTGGCGTAACCGGCGCCCCCGGACTCTGTGATCAGGTGTGTACACACTCACTCGTGTGGTTATCCGCCTGTCATGTTCCAGCCTCCACAAGGGGACCCAACTCTCTCGTCACCCACCTCCAGCTTCCCCGGGAGCCCCCGAAGCTAGCGGCTGCCACTTGTGAGCAGTTTGAGCTGCAGATGGTGACACTCTGATGCACACTCTTAGCGATCCAGCAGCCCTCGGCAACCGGGAACCCAGTAACTCGGACGGACCCTCCAGAGAAGCGGGCCTTGCGGGGGGGGGCGGTGTCTCCGGTCTTTGAGCCTTTTTGCGTGTCCCCTCCTGAGTCTCAGCTGCCGCTCCGACTCGGCACCCATGGTTCTTGATTTTCAGCACCGGTGGCCGAGCCCTTACAGTATGGAGTCCTGGCAGGGCGTCCCACCCGGAACCACAGGACTTTTCAATTCGACCCGGCCCCTCTCATCTGTTCTTCTCCTTCTCACTTCACTTCTATCACTTTTCTGATTGTTTATCCGATTTCCTCTCTCTTTGTAAAGGCCGTTGGTTGTTCTGCATGGAGACCCCTCCGCCTGAGTCGGGCGGTTGGGCTGGTCTCCCTCTGGCTATTCCCAGGAAAGTCACGGCCCTAGAAAATTCCAGGGCTGGCACTGGTCCCAGAATGCAGCGTGCCAGCTGAAACTCACTCAGTCAAAAGCGCTCATCTGAAGGTCTCCCACTCTTGTCTTTATAATAACATGAAAGAAATGAACAGCAGCCAGAATAGAAAAATGGGGACAGAACGTGGCTTATTGTGGATTGTTGGGTGCAGAAGGAGCCGGTCAATCCCTAGATAGTCAGGCCTTCAGTGGCAGACAAGGAAAATGACGCTTTTCTTTTTGGAGATAAAAGCGTCGTTCTGCAGGCAGTGGTGACCTGGGAAGGACGGCTCACACACGCAGGTGTGAGTGACGAGTTCCCATCGCTCCGCGCCTCAACTTTGGGTCAGGCGGGGACTCACGAAAGTCTGTTTCTCAGATGCGTGTCGGGGTCTCGGGGAGATGCTGAAAACTCCCCACACAGCCCAGTGAGCGTGTCCGCAGTCAGTTCAGAGACCGCGGTGATTTGGGGGCTTTCCTGAGGGGGACGTGTGGGCCTTCACTCCCACACATGTGGGCCAGGAGGTTCTCTGGAGCCGGCCAGGCACCCTTGTTCTAACTCAGCTGCTGCGCCCCAGTGAGGTCAGCGTATCCTGCTGCGTTCAGAGTGGTTATAGCCTTATTCAAACGTGCAGAAGCACAGAAAAGTGAGATCGTTTGCATTAAGTAACGGAGGGGTGGAATGACCAGATGAGTGAGAACATTTTACGTGCGTGATGTTTCGCCCCCTATGTAAATGTGCAGATGACGAAGTTTCAGGTCAGGCCGCGTGGCTGATAGTAACCATTTCTGCAGAATCCACGTTCTGTTTCCATGTAACGAGCCACCCCGACACACGGGGGCGTGAGACAACTGCCGTGGAATTTCACGTGGCTTTCAAGGGAGTGAGGGTGAGGCCGGGTGGGAAGGTCCTCCCCTCGCCTCCCCAGTGCCTGCTGGGCTGGGTGCAGGTGGACTGGCCGGGAGGGAAAGTCAGCGCACACAGCGGAATTAAGACAGGTGAGGGGCCGAGTGCTGGCCACTGAGGGGCCCGCGCCTGTCCTGTTGCAGAGATCTCCCCGCGTGCTGGGGACGCACACGTGTTCTTGCTGATATGCGGGCTCAGACAAGTCAAAGACCCCCTGTATTTGGTGGATGCCTTCTCAGGTACGTGTCTGAGGCCTCTCTGTTTGCGGGACCCAAGTGGGGTGGCTGCCTTAGCATTGCTCTCAGCAGGGCTGGGGGCTTTACCTTCTCCTCTTTGCATTTTGGCAGAACTGCGCCTAGGTTGTTACTTAGGAAAAACCAGAAAAAATAACAGTGCTTGTCGTAAGTTTCCTATGACCTCGGCTTCCGAGGAAAGCATAAAACACAGCTGGTTACTCTAAGGCTGAAATAATTGTATCTGAAAACACTCCACACGTGTCATTTGCCCCCCAGTTTGGGTGGCGTGTTAGCTCTCGCTGCCTAATAAATCTGGGTAATGCAAACTGTCCTAGAACAATACTGCTAACCTGATAGTGAAAAAAAAGTCAAATGTTTACATTCTAAGTATGTGCAAATTAAATGGGCTACTGTGAAGGAAAGCAAAGTGTGCAGTCATTTATGTTATAGTGAAAGTCCTGGTCACTGTATGTTTTCAGCTGTGACTTTTAGCCATTTTAAAGTGTTTTCCCTTCTCTTCTCCCCAAGAATGGCACCGACAAGAGCCCGACGTCTACCTGGTGATCGTGGGCCCCGAGGTGAGCTGGCTGCCGCCGCGAGCGTTCCCACGTCCCGGTTGTGACCTGCTGTCTGACCTCTGTTCACGTTACTTTTCTAACCGAATTACTTTGTCCTTGTGAAGCGAGACAGGCCTGTTTGCCTTTCTAAAGATGAAAACCAGACCACAGTTCTAGATGAGGAGGCTTACGTACATCTTTAGGATGGGCGCATTGCCACTGAGGGTGACAGGCAGGTCCTCGGGGTGACAGTCACATGCGGCAGAGGCCTGGGTGTGGTCTGATTGCCTCAGACACTCTCCGCAAGGGTGCAGCAAACAGATGCTGGGCCGGTGTCCCCGCACCAGGAGCCTCTGTGGGACTCGCACCCAAGCTGTACAGATAAGCCCCTGCCAGCAGGAGGCGCGCACCTGGGGGGATGTGTTCATCCCTGACCTTGGGGGTTGCCTGAGGAAGGAGGGGCGTGGGGATGGGGGAGGGGCAGGGTTTCCACCCGTGTGAATGCATGTGTGTGCACGTGTACACCAGGGTGATGCTCTCCAGGGGGTGGTGCGAGAGAGCGTTGACTCTTTTAGATGCCACACGTCTGTGCTTTTCTGTGGGGACCCTCAGTGAGAACACTTCACGGAGTCAGACCCTGGTCCCCTACGAAGCCGCCAAAATCACGCACGCGGCACCGCTCACGGCTGCCAAGTTGGTGAGCGCGCCTTTGGGCACCAACGGCGTCTGTGCGTCCCGTGGAGAGTGGTTCCGTGCCGGCTGGGTGCAGGTCTGTGCTCCCTGCCTCGGTCTCCCCGTATGTCAAGTGGCCTGACTAAGGAAGTGCTCCCGGCCTCCCCAGTGTTGTGAGCCCACGGCAGGGCCCCCACCCGTGCCCGGCCCGTGGGCACCGTCCTGCGGGTGCACATAAAGGCCTTGCCTGCCGCGTGGATGTTCTGGGGTCCGTTTCAGCCGTAGGAGGGTTTGAGGCCGGCTCCGGTGTTCTCCGAGGGCTTCCCGGCTCGCTCAGCTCAACGGCACCGGCAAGCACGTGTCCCCTGCTTGCGGGGGCCTGGGGGGTGGGCTTTTCCGGTGGCCTTTGATAAGGAGTGTGGCCCCAACAGGTAGTACAGGCGTGACGGCTTAATGAGTTTCCTTGATTACTTCTCATACCACAGATTATTTTCCTTAAGCCTGGAGTTGACTCAATCTGGTTTTGCTAGAAAATAAATAAGCTTTAGAAGGGGGGATGGGACTTCTCCTGGCTGTTCGCAGGGGCTCTGCTTTTTAAAATTTCATAACATGTGCTTCCATTGCATAAAAATATCTGCCCTTCCTGCCTTCCCGCTCTTGTCTGTCGTTCCACTTGGCTTCACTAAGAGATTTGAAATGAACTGATGTGGAAGGTAAACCCAGAAAAATTTAATGCCGTTTTTACTTTTCTCTTGGAAGTTGCTGTTTTCCCTTTAGTTAAAGAATTAAGGATTGCAGTGGTCCTGTAGAACTGGGTTTTTCTTCTCCTCGACACTATTTTTACCTAAATAACTGTCAGAGCAGAAGCATGCTAATAAAATTAGCAACAGGGGGATTTCTATCCAAGAGTGATCATAAGTAAAACAGGAACTCGAACATTCAAACGTAGAGTTAAAAGAAGGCTTATCGGTGGATGGTTTAGTTTTTGTGATACAGTGTTAGGGTATAATGTGCATCAGATGCTGAGGGTAATTTGAACAAAAATAATCACTGGTGGGCAGGGGACGGCCAGTGGGAGGGCCTTCATCTAGCAAAGGTGACGTACAGACCATGTGCAGGCCCTGGGCATGACCTTGGGGGGCCTGGGTGCTGGAAGGAGATGAGGTGGACGGATGATGAGAAGGCAGGCCCAGGTGTGGTAGGAGGAGGTAGAAGACTGGAGGGAGGAGATGTTACTTCTGGTTGGATGGGGCACATTCCTCAGACAGGGGGCATGTGCCTGTTCCTTGGGGGACCAGTGGGTCGTCGGGACAGAGGGTGGCCTTGCTGGTGGGCAGAATGGTGTACGCTTAGGAGACAGGTGGGCAAGTGGGCGAGTAGGCCGAGGAGCAGGTAGGTGCTCTGTGTGTGGTCCACAGCGGCTTCTGACGAGCTGTTGTACGAAGTTTCTGAGAGCAAAGCGGAGTGGCCCCAGAGCGCAGCTGCAGGAGTCCAGCCTCAGAGTCGGGCTGCCAGCCTGTGAGCTCTGCCCAGTACCCCTGCCCACAGGCAAACCCGGCTAAGTCACCGCAGCGCTCTGAGCTCCAGGGCCCCCTTGCCTGGGGTGGAGATGATTTTAACCGGCTGCAGACAAGAAGCGGGGCGATACGTGTGCCGGGCCCAGCAGGGGCTGGGCAATGGGGAGCAGCAGCTAAATATTGACTCTTCACAACAACAGGAATGAACAATCAACTGTGCGCAGCCTTCAGTTTCTTTAAAGGTCTTACCAGTGTCGAGATGGCTGTTGGCGCCAATTCAGTGCCAACAGGGGTCCCCACTTTGGGGTGCAGTGAAGAAGAAAACTCTCCTCAGTGCCAAATGGCTCAGTTGCGACACAGCATGACTGTGAAATAGCTCAACGGTATTACAGTCCGGTTACGAAGTGACAAGGCTGAAAGGCAGCCCTGGACACAGCCTCTCCATCTCTGCTCCATGCCAGCAAGTCGCCCTGCATTTAGGCTTCAGCCAGGAAAGCGAGTCTCCAATCCTCTGTGCAAGCAGGGGAGCTGGCTTATATAGACAACAGTCCCCATCCCCGGACTCTGATTGGCCCATCCTCATGCAAATGGCTCCAAATCTTCACAGTTTGATTGGCTCAAAAGGCACTGTCCTGATTGGTAAGAATGGAGCCACTCTAATTGGTCAAGGAAAGCCTCAGTCCTATTGGCTGAAATAGGATTCCAGGTGCTCCTTTATAAGGGCGGTTCACATGGCAGGAGCCCAGTGCAGGGGGGCAACTCAGGGCAGACTTCTCCTCAAAGTGCTGTTTGCACAACAGGCCCCTGTGTAGAAATGGCTGCTACATTCTGTTTTTGTTTTAATTTGAGCCCAGTTAGCTGCCAGGAGCCCCTGTTGGTAGGAACCTTCTTTCTTAGGTACACACCAGGAACGGCACTGTCCCTGCAGCCTCCACGTGGCCTTCTGGGACCCCGGCACAGCCTCCAGCCCACCAACAGCACCAGCAGAGACGGGGAAGAGGGCAGGGGCCACCCCGCAGCTCCCCCAGGGCCAACTGCTCCCTGGCAATGTATTCCCCACGGGGTCCCATGTGTATGATTTCCGCTGGAAAACTGGGGGTGGAAATCACACATTGGCAACTCTTCCTTTTTTACTTTGTATGTGCATTTTTTTAATACAAGGGCAGAGAATCAAGGCAGCTAAGCAGGTCAGAACATCTCAGTAATCAGGTCCCAGTGGCTGACTTTTGCTAACAGTTGTAAATAAGCCTGTTACCTCCTTCTGAACAATGCCCGGCCTCAGGTTCTCCTCAGACAGGCCAGTTTCTTACAGAAACACAACTGCACTCCCCGACTATTTGCCCGACGGCGGATTCTGCCCATTCTCGGCAGTTCTGAATCCTCCCGCAAGCAATTAATTACCTGATTCCGGCGCTGCCTCTCTCCTGTGCTATTTCTGAAAATACATTAAACCATCAAAAATTCTACCCAGGAATCATTTCATTTTCTTAGGCACCCAAATTTGGTGGTTTAGCCTTCAAAGTGATCTTGAGGATGTAACGGAACAGCGTTCCCAGTTTTGGGGGTACATCTCAGTCATGCCAGTGGTCCGAAGGGTTTGCCCCCCCCCCACACACACACAGAGTTTCCTGGAAAACAGGATGATTTCCGTGAGCGTGATGAGCGTCAGTCAGGGCTATTGTCACATCGGCTGCACTGACGGGGACTGCGTTTGTGATTTCTGACACCTCCAGGCAAAGCGTGAATGAGAATAGACATTGCATTGGTCCTCACTCCAGGCTCGTCCGGAGGAAGGGGAGACGTCGAACTAGTCCAATGTGTTTACGCGGCGTTTCAAACTCAGTGTTGCGCTTGCATGAATTTAAGAATGTTTTGTTCATTCTTTTAAAGCTGTGTCCTTGCTAGTTAACACCGGGGGGCTAGTGCAGGGCAAAGCTGGCCTCTCGGCGGCTTTGTTGGAGTCCGCAGTCGGGTGAGCCAGAAGTGAGAAGTATGTGCAGCGGCCTCATCCTAAACAGGCTTGTGGGATCTCAGCCACACCTGAAAAAGTGTCCTGAGGTCCTCCTGGCGCCCAGTGAGTGGACATCCCCGAGGAGAGGTCACTGTGAGCACACAGTCCCGGGGTTTGGTCTGTGGTTGGGAGGGTGGGGGGTGCCTCCATTCGGGCGCATTGAGCAGCGTGGCAGTGTCCCCAGGCATGGGCACACTTGAGGCGGAGCTCAGAGACCTGTGAATCCATCGTGGAGACGGCAGCCCCCACTCTTACCCTGTGCAGCAGGGTCCGAGAGCCAGCGGGCTTCCTTTGAGGCTCCTGCAGAAGCCCTGTGTCCAGTGTAGCTCCTCCCACCCAGTGGGAGGGTTTGGGCTGATGTGATCCTCCTCCAGCCCAGGGTGCAGTTTCTCATTTTGCAGAAGGGGAAAGCGGGGCCCAGGGCCACCTGTCAGCATGAGCGGCAGGCAGGGCTCACCCCAGGGACGTCTCAGGGGCCCGCTTAGTCTCTGCCACCCTCTGTGCCTCCGCCTGAGAGTTTGCTTAAAAACCACATGGAGAGAAAACACTGGCATAGCAGCTCGGCTGGAAAACCCTGCTGCTAAATTTCTGCATCAGTTCAGCGAACATATGAATCACCAGGGATGGGACGGGACACAGCAGGGTGCCTGTCGTCCCTGGAGACCTGTTCCTGAAGCTGTGAATACTGAGGGAACAGTCCCCCCTGAGGGACAATGAAATACCAAGGAGTGCAGGTCGTAATGGTGAAGTTGCACTCAGCTTTTTAAAGAGTTGAGACACAATTCGTATGCCATAAAAACCACCTTTCGAAGCATCTAACCCAGTGGGTGTTTGGTTCATTCACGAAGCTTTGCAGCCGTCACCCCATCAGACTCTGGAGCACGTTCATCAGCCCGAAAGAAACCCCACAGCTCTTAACAGTCGCTTGCCCTTCTCTCACCCCGTGCCCCCGGCAACCACAAATCCTCCTTCTGTCTCCATGGACTTGCCTGTTCTGGAGGCCTCCTAGACATGAATCACAGCCCGTGGGGCCTCTGTGTCCGGCGCCTCTCACTCAGCGTTGTGTTTAGGTCCATCCGAGGCACGACAGGTGTGCAGTTTCACTCTTTTTCATGGCTGAGTGACACTCCCCTGGGGAGGGGGGGCTGCCCTGTGTCTATCGGTTCCTCAGCTGGCGGGCGCGCCCTTGGCTTCAACTCTGTGTCTCTGGGGAAGCTCCCCATTGAAAATGACTTTTAGTTCTCTCGTGTCCTTTGTCACAGACCTACTAACAGTTCCAACTCTTGCTGTCTCAAAGGCCCTACAGCAAAATCCACGCACTGATGACCCAGGCTGGCCTTTCACTGAGGAGTGGCCAGGTCCCCTGCTGGGGGTGGCGGCCTCAGCATCCGGCTGTGCCAGCAGCCTCCAGCCCCACAGGAGAGAGAGAAAGTGTGTGTGTGCACATGTGTGTGTTTGCTCTGTTCGCACCTCCTCCATTCTCCTCTCCTCCTCCCTGTGAGGCTGGACTCGGGGACGCTCTCCGATTTGACTTGTTTTTCTTTGTAAACTGTCCGGGTGGCCTTCTTGTCATGGCGCCCATGCTCTTGTGACGTAGGCAGCCTCAGGCTTTTCCTAATGTGGGTCCATGTCTCTTGGCAGGTGGACCCAGTGTTTACAAGGGAAGTGAAGGTCAAGCTGAAGAGGTAAGCGGCAGCAGCAAGCAGGTGTTTTCATGGGAGAAGAGACCTGGTGGCCAGCGCGTGAACCTGGTCCCGTGATTACGCAGCAACGCCTGTGTCCCGGCTCTGTCCCCTGCACCTCACGAGGGGCCCCTCCTCTAATGCTTCCCTGGGCGACCCCAGGCAGTGCTGCCTCCGAGCACAAGCCAGGAGGCTGTGTCCCCAGAACACAAGCTGCATCTGGAGGGGCAGGGACAGCGCACGTGGAAGGGTGGCAGCCTCGCTGGTTCCTGGGAGTGGCCGAGAAAAGCACTTTGATGACTAATGTCCACAGGACATTGTCAAACACCAAAAAGACCTCAAATGTCTAGGGTTTGGGGCAGTGGAGGGACATGGCACCCCTCGTCACCTCTTGGGAGGACCATTTGTTGGAACATCTGATATAAATGGCCGGTGTCCGCCTGTAACAGATACTCACCAACACCGGCTTAAATGCCTGGGACCAACTGGCTTCATAAAAAAATCTGATGCTGTGGGTCCAGAGCCGGTAAGACTCAGGGGCTTGGGCTCCTGTCTCTCCGTCCTGCTGGCCCTCACCTGTGGCTTCCATCCTCAAGGTGGCAAAGTGGCTGCAGAGCTCCACCCATCTCATCACATCCCCAATTTTAAGAGGAGACGCAGGAAAGGGCAGGTCAGAGGACCATTTCCCACTTGGGTCAGCCCCCTTTAAGGCGATTTCCTTCTGGACCCCCCACCAGGATTCCGCTGCACCTCCCTGGCCGCTCCAGCAGCAAAGGGGACTGGGAAATACTGACTTTATCCCCACATACAACTGGGGGGTCTTTACCTTGCTCACAGATACCTGTACATAAAACCAGGGCCTATTAGGTGAAAGTGTAAGTGTCACGGTCACGAGAGCGGAGGGGAGGGGACAGAGTCGAGTCAGGGTTGCCAAATGAAAACCAGAAAACCGACCTGAGGGACAAAGCCCTGCGGCGTGGGGTGGTGGCTGCGTGGGTTTTGCGTGCACTCTCTTATCCCAGCATTCATTCCTATTTCTCTCTGCCGATCTCCCTATTATTGTCTCTGTTAGTGTCTTAAACATACTCGAGGAGGGCTGAACTCTTAGGGAGGAGTCCTGTCTAAACCCTGCAGAGAGGACGGCTGAGCACCCATCCCTGACTCCCAGGGTCGGAGAAGCCTGCGCCCTGTCGCTCACACGGGTTCACACCCAGCACTGACGTGTCCGCAGGCTGCCCACCTCCCCGTCAGGGGCGGACATGGGGGAGACGCTCGCCCCAAAGTTGCTCCGGGTGTTGAACCCCCTCTCAGTAATGCTGACTCTGTGATAGAGGGGGCTTCTCCGGAGTCGTCATCTCTCGCCTCCCACCCCACTGTGAGACCCCACAGCTCAAGCTTCCCCCACCCGTGTCATCATCTGTTTCAGCTCCGCGGGGGTGCGCCTGGCCCGGGAGATGCCGCAGGGCGACCTCCACGCGGCCCTGAGGCACTGCGTCGCTCTGGTCAACAGCTCCGTCTCCGAGGGCATGTCCGCTGCCATCCTGGAGGTAATGGTCTCCCCGAGGCCCCGAGGGGGCGCGGTGGAAACTGCCTGCCACCTCTGTCCTCGTGGTCGGAGGTGGTGTCTTTCTCAGCACAGCCCAGCGCCTCTCAAAGCTTGAGAGAAGCAGAACAGCTTTTCTCTGGGAGCCCAGGAGTCGATTCTGAGTTCCACTTGGGACTTGCAAGCGATTGCTCCACCTCACACGGCCGTTCCCTGCCGGCCGCACAATGACGCCAGTCCAGGACTCTCCCATGGCGGGAGGGTGGGACGGCTGTGTTTTTACCAGAAGCCTCCTTTTCCCTGGCTTCTTCTCCCCATTTTCAGTGTGGCTCACGACCCCAGGATTGGGGGTGGGGAGGGGCGTGCAGCGAGGTGGAGGTGTGGGCGGGGTGGGAGGAGGGCTCCAGTCTCTTCAGGCGTCATCAGCTCCGAAAGCCGCTGGGTCTCCTTTGGCTGAACGCACACAGGCCCCCGCACAGCCCTGGGGTGGTGACCCAGTGGCCCGGTGACCAGTGTCCCACAGGGAGCGGCCCCAGCAAACAGCCTCTGGCTGGATTCCTGGTGGCTCTGGCTGGACTTGGTTGGCTGTCCCGGAGACACTTAACCCGGCCACTCAGCCGCCTGGCCATCCCTTGTCTCTCTGGAACGCTCCAGGCGGTGGGGTGTTTCACCCCAATATCCAGGTGAAACCGCTCCATGCCAGTTAATTAGATCCTGGAGGGGACGGCCCACTCCTGGGAGTCCAGGGCCGGGAGGCGTTGGTGGCGCGTCCTGTGGGTCTGTGATGAGTTCAGTCACGTGTCAGCCCCTCCATCTGTGCTGAGGTTTGAAGCCAGCCTCCCTGCGGCGCTCAGACGCGCGTCACCTGGAACGGCGTGCGTGGCCGCGGCCCTGACCCTCGCTGCCTGCTGGCTGCTCCTTCCTCCGCAAACAGACATTTCCCCGCCCCACCCCCAGGTCTTAAGAAGCGAGAGTGGGATCTGGGAAGCGTTTCATAACCAGCACTCACAGCAATTCGCGGCAGACAAATTGCTGTCAAGTCTCATCGGCTTCAAAGGCAGTTGAAGTTCTGACCGCGCTGGCAGTTCTGATCGCCGTGGAGTGTGGGCGTCGGGCGGAGGGTCGGGAACGTGTCTGCTTTCAGAGGGGTTGGGGGGTGCGTTTCGTCGGGGTGGGTTCGGACCCGTGTGGCGACCCTTGGAGCAGGGGCGCCTGTCGGACAGGAGGGCGGGGGCTTCCGGCCTCTAGTAATCGGTTTGTCTCCTCGTGAGGCAGGGACACATCCCGTGCAAACACCTGCTTCCGACCAGTGAGCCGCAGAAATCAGCCCTGAGCTGGGTGCCTGGCCCTCGGCTGCCCGGCTGGGTCAGGGTTGGACTCCCCACGGAGCTGAACTGGGCCAGGCCAGGAGGAGAGGATTTCAAAACGAGTGTTTTCTAATCTGGGTCTCCCTCACCGGGGTCTCCCCTCCCACTCCACGACACATGCACGCACACTCAAGCCCCCCCACCCTGGTCACGCTGCGGCGCCGGGGGAGAAGTCTGCCTGCCGGAGCAGAGAGCAGTAGGGAGACGGCGCTGCACTCGGCCCCCAGGTCCGGGCTCGGGGGAGACTCACGGAGGGCTTCTGAAGGCCGCCGTGCGGCTGTGAGCGGGGGGGGGGGGGGTGCCGGAAACGTGAAGGCCTCGTGTGCCACCACGGTGGGAAGGGGCTCCTCCAGTTCACGCTGCAGGGAGGGGCGGCAGGAGACCAGTGCTCTCTAGGGCGCAGGACAGGATTTGGGATGGTGCCCCCACTGCCGCTGGCTCCCTGATGACATCGGGGCCGAGTGCCCTGCAGGAGCGTGTCCGTGGGTCGGCCGGCTGGGCGCTCTGTCCGTCAGGGCGGCCAGCACGTGAACTGGGTTTCTCTGTGAGACATTCTGGTCGAGGCGGCCGGATGTCAGGGGTCTCATCGTTCCCCCCAGGGCTTGAAATCCCTTCTGACAGGGGCGGAGCCCCCTCCCCAGGGTCCTGGGACTGTGTTGGCTGGAGGCCGGGCGGCGTGTGGGTCTCCAGGCCGCCGTGCCCTCTACGACGGGTGTGTCGTCTCCGCAGACTCCAGGAAGGTTTCTAAAAACACGGAGTGTGAGCCCGGTCATGGGTTGAAGAGCTCCTGGGGGTTGGGGGGCGCAGGGGGCGTGGAGCTAGGTGACAGCTGCTCCCAGCCCTCGGGGTCGGAAAGCCATGCTGCGGTGACCTCGCTCCTTCGGCCGTGTCCTCGCCCGCGAGCCAAAGGCTCACACTCAGTCCCACTGTGCCGCCTCTCGGGGGTGGTGTGGGCAACACGCGTGAGCCCACACCGTGTCCCGTGACGTGCAGAGGGGCAGTGCCTGGTGGCACGGCTGTAACCCTGCCCATCCGTGACAGGGTGTCCTTTCCCAGAACTTGCAGATACAGTGAGTGGGTCCTGAGAATCCAGGCGCAGTCTGAACACGGGCGTCTCCGCTGGGCGTGGCTCTGCGGGCGGGGCCGGGGCCCTGGGAGGCACCGCCCACAGACAGGCCCTTCCCACGGGCACCGTCTCCTCTTCCCGCCCTGCAGGCAATGGAGCTGGAGGTGCCGGTGCTGGCCAGGAACATCCCCGGGAACGCCGCGGTGGTCCGGCACGGAGCCACGGGGCTGCTGTTTTCCGACCCTCAGGTAGGGGGTGCCCTGCGCGGGTGGTTTTCACGTGCATTTCCCTCCGAGTCCGAGACGTGTGCGTTTTGTCAGCGTTCCGCACCCCATCACGGTCAGGGCAGCCCTGTGGCCGGGGCCCAGTTTCCGATTTTACGATGGCCGTCCTCCCGTGCAGCCCTGTGATTCTAGACCTCGCGCTGGGGTGCAGGGTGGGGGGGGGCGATGCGTCTGTCCCATGACTTGCAGTCACGTGTCCAGCGCGTGGACCACGTAGACTGAGGGCTGGGTGCGGACACGGGTTTGAGAGTGAAGTAGAGGCCTCGGGAACTGGGTGCAGGTGGCTGGCGACACTTGGGGTGCATGTGCCAGGGCCCCCAGGACTGAGGGGAGGGCTCCCCTCCACAAGACGCCTGGGGCCCGAGGTGCCCCCCTACGGGGCCAGCCTGAGTCCGAGCCCCCGCGGGCCTGGTGCAGGGCATTCGGCTGTAGGGCTATTTCCTCCCCTGGACAAGGGTTGTGAATTGTGACCGCGGCTCTGCCGGGCATGGCGTGGACTGATGCGCCCCGTCCCTGCCCCCACCGCAGCCCCCACCCGTCCCACTCTGCCCAGTTCTCTGGGAATGTCCACTGCAGGCCAGGCTCCCGCGCTTGGGGTCGTCAGGATGAGAACGAGGTTCTCCTCACTCCCTCTTTATGAAGCGCCCGTTACGTTCTGATGCACAGGGGACCTTCTCACCTAAAACTCAGAGTTGCTGCAAATGTCTGAAAGTTCGAGTTCTCAGAGCCCCTGCAGGGACTCTGTCCTCCTGTCCCCACACACACCACCTCCTCGTCTCACCGAGCTCAGCGTCCAAGCCCCGCGGCCTAACCGTGAATGTTGGAGGAGCAGCTGCTTCCTCGTGGGCACAGCCGGCTGAGCACCGGCAAAGCCGTGTGGGCGGCCCGACCTCAGAGAGCTCCTTGTGAGCTGTGACTCCTTCTACCGCAAGTGACTGTCCTGTCTGCCATGATCGGGTCCCCTCCGCGGGTGGCTGGCTGGCCCCTGGGAGCTCTCAGACGCCGTCCCGAGGTGCCCACCCACCACTCCTCATGGATTTCTTTTGATTCCAACGTGAATGTTAGTTCTGCACAGCACGGCTTTTAAAAAACATAGCACTTTGCTTTTCATGCACGGCGGGGCTGCATTTTTAACACAGTTTGGGAAAGCGTGCCAAACACAGCATCCCACAGGACTTTGTTTCCCCCGTGGTTGTGATGGTGGTGATGAGGGTGATGATGGCGATGGTGGTGGTGATGGTGGTGGTGGTGGTGATGATGGTGATGGTGGTGGTGATGGTGATGAAGGTGATAGCTACCATTTATCAGGTGCAAATTATATTCAGAGCACTGTGCCTGGCGTTCTGCATGAATTGACACATGTATTAAAGTTTGTTTCTTTTTCCCACGAATGGTAGTGAAGTTGATCTTGAATCAGCCGTTAAATGTTTGGGAAGAGTCGGGGGTGTCAGGGGACCAGCACCCTCTAAACGTCCGGACAGGTACAACTGTGCTTGGCTCCTGAGTGTTTCCTTGAAACCTGAGCGATTCCAGACACATTTCTGATTCCTATGCTCACCTCCCGTAAGAGGGCAAGGGCAATGTGCAGGTTGGGGACCAAGAAAAGGTGCACGAAGGGGCTCTTCTGAGCCTCAGCCAAAAGCCGTGTGTCCCCGAGTCAGTGGTGTCCCTGCTGCTGCTCGGTGCCCGGGAGCGGGCAGACCACCTGTGAGCCCCTGCTGGGCTCGTGCCCGTGTGGGCGAGAGGCAGGCGGGCACTGGAGAGCCGCATCCCCCACCGGCTCACTCTGGGCCCCTCTCCCCTCGGGGAACTGAGCGGTGCGGTTGCCCGGCAAAATATCATTTCTCTCTTCCTCACTTTAATTTTTATATCCTTCTAAAATTTAACTTTCTAACCAAGCATCTTTAATTGTTGGAAGTATAACCATCTGTCGGCTGTACGCCCCTCAACCCACCCCCTCACCTCCTAAAGCCAAGTGTGTGGGCGCCAGGAGCCCCCGGCACTTGGTGACGGCCACGCCAACCCCCAGAACACGCCGGGCCGATGTGTGAGAACTGCACCGGGAGTCACGCCAAAGTCTATGTACTTGCATATAAGCAGCCCTGTCATTTACTGTGCGAGGCCAGGGCAGCTTCGGGGTGAAGGGGACTGTTCTGCATCCTCTCCACACGAGGCGCTGGCTTCTCCCTGTGGTCAGCACGGCCCCTCGGTGGTCAGGTGGGCGCCGCCTGAGTCTGGCCGAGGAGAGCCTGGAACCTGGCGAGGGCTGCTCACTCGCCCGGACGGAGAACGTCCCTGACCTTCAGCCCTGCGTCAGGGTCACTGCACCAGGGGCCCAGGCCTGTCCCCCTGCCCACCCACCCCGTCCATCGAACCCTGTGCATTCTGTTCGGCCTTCCACGCGGGAGGAGAAAGTGAGCGCCGCCTTTCCTGGAAACTACCGCTCACGACTCTGTTCTCAGTGGCCGTATATTCTACAGAATCCCAAGCCGGGGGCTGGGTTTCAGCCGAAGCCTCCCCAGCACGTAAATCAAAGGTGGGGCCAGTCACCCAATAATATAGCAAAGCTCTCAGCCTCTCAATTTCATAAGAATGTCGTTCTGTTACGAGGTGGGAGTAAATACGTTATATTTCTATTACAGAAGAAAACAGAGTCCTGGCTGGTGTGGCTCAGTGGATTGAGTGCCGGCCTCTGAACCAAAGGGTTAGCAGTTCAATTCCCAGTCGGGGCACCTGCCTGGGTTGCGGGCCAGGTCCCCAGTAGGCGGCGCACAAGAGGCCACCATACATTGTTTCTCTCCCTCACTTTCTCCCTTCCTTCCCTGCTGTCTAAAAATAAAATAAACTCTTTTAAAAAATGAAAGAGAGCAGCAATTTACCATCTACACAACACCTGAGAGTACAATTCCACTCTCCCACGAATATCGCTGTTTGCACTGTTAGCCATGAAAGCCACTCAGCGTCTAATTAACAGCAGTTTCGAGAACACGTCACGATCCCTTCAAACAGCAATCAGGCCTGGTCCCGTCACTGGGACCTACACGGTGTGGGGGACGAGGACGACAATGGTGGCGACATCCTGCCAGGCTCTGCCCTGTGTCCTTTGTCGTCACTCACTCGGCCGCCCCACCCCCTGGCAGGCTCCCTGTCCTTGCCCCTGATGACTGGGGGCAGGAAGGGGCCCAGGAAGCCGCCCTCGACGCAGGGGCAAGCGGAATAAATGCTGAGTGTCCCCTCCTGTCTCTGAGCCCCTTTAACCACCCGAGTGATCCTAATCCTTTCCTACCCCGACGGGTCTAATGTGGCAGACGGGGCAGCGAGGTGGCCCTTCCACCCTGAGTCTGGGAGCCCAGCAGAGAGAGAGGGAGACAGAGAGAGACCTCCTGAGGCACCAGAGGAAAACCCAGCCCGGCCCAGTCGGGCCCCACCCCCAGGCGTCTGGGGCGGGGCTGCACCCAGCACCTGCCTGACTGCCTGCCGGTGGCCCCTTCAGCGGTGATGGGGATGCTCAGAGAGGTCACCTGCTCACTCGAGGCTGCACAGCTAAGCTCTTTCGGAAGAGTCGGAACCCAGCTGACACGGCAGCCGTGAGACCAAGACCACACCTGCAGCGGGAAGCCACAACCAACTTGATGGAAAGCAGCTGGGGCCAGAGCAGCACGGGGCAGGCTAACTGGCCTCAGCTGAGACTGGAGTGAAGGAAGGAATCCCAACTGGAAGAGTCGGGGTCGGGGAAGGTGTGCAGGTCGGGGCGACCGAGGGAAGCCGGACAGGGGGCCGCACCGATGCCCCCGCAGGCTTCCTCCTCGCGTGTGCGCGTGTGTGCGCGTACTGGGTCGGCCAAAAAGCCTGTTTAGTTTTTTTCTGTGAAACAGACACATGGTTCTCCTTCTCACTAATGACTGGATGGATTTAAAGAGTTTGAGGATGTCGGCTGTCTCCTGCAGGTGCCGGGTAGGACGCTGATTGCGCTCGAAGAACGCCGTGATTTGAGGGCTCTCAGCTTCAGCTGGTCGACCCCACGGTGGGGCGTTGCCCAGCCAGAGTCCTCAGCACGAACCTTCGAAAACCTGTTCTGACACGTTCGCTCAGCCACAGCCCCTGCTCCGCACACGGCACCGATCTCTTTGTTTGCGTTTCGGTTGCCTTTTTACCTTTCTTGAAATAACAAAGCCTCTTCATATTAAAATGGCTACCCCCAAATTGACCAATTTTGGTGTGTTTTTTTTAATGCAGGCTGCTGTGCCAGCTGTCTCAATACAATCTAACAAAATGATTTCGAAGGAAGTGAAAGACCGCTAAGCACTAGACTAGGGCCATCTTATGGGAAAAAAAAAAACACCAAACGAACCTTTTGGCCGACCCATACGTCATGTTTCTTACCCTGTCCCGACGTCTGCGTCCACTCTCGTCCCTCCTGCAGGCCATTCTCTCCAGAGCCGGGCGGGCGGATACGGGGAGGCCAGGAGCCGACACAGACACCGGCTTTGGGCGCGTTTGCCACCCCCGCCGCCAGCAACTCACACCTGTGTCTCCCCTTCCTCCCTCACAGGAGTTTGTCCAGTTGGCGAAGAGACTGCTCAGTGACCCCGCACTGGCAAGGGACCTGGGGGCCAGCGGCCGGGCGTACGTGCGAGCACACCATGCCTGGCGGGCAGAGAGAGACACCTACCAGCACCTCATCCGGTCGCTGGAGGGGGACGCTGATCACCAGGCCTTCTGCTGACCAACGCCCCCCCGTCGGAGGGGCACAGGGCCACGCCCCCACCATCCGGGCATCGCGAGGAGAGGGCGGGAGCGGCAGAGCCCTGGTTCTGAATCGGGCCTGAGCAGGCACCCTGCACACGGCCCAGGGACATCTCAGGTCTCGGGTCCCTCCCTGCAAAGCGGCAGGTTGTAAGACACCGTCGTCTGGAAGCTGGACTCTGTCCCCGGTGGAAGGACATTCTGGAGGCAGGACGCTGCTGCACCTCCCGTCACCAGCGTCCGTGTCCACACCCACACACATGCACCCTGAGCAAGCGCTTGGGGGAAGGGCGTGTTTTTAAGTGAATAAAGTGTGTCGCTGCATCCGTAGTGCAAAAGTAACTGCTCTTCGTTCTTGGGACCGAGACACAGGCTCTGGTCCCCTCGGACTCGGGGACAGCTCACGGGAGAGGCTGGAACACTGTTACTCCTTCAATGTCCAGGCAGCGGCGGAAACGCCTTCCCATCAACGCCCTGCCCGGCTGTTTCCCGCTCCGTTAACTATGTTCAGACACTAAGTGCCTCTCGCTTCGCTGCTGTGCGTCAGGCAATGTCTGAGTCTCCACACCGAGCCTGAGGGACCTCTGGTGCCAGGGGACAGCCAGTACCGAGGTGGGGAGGGGGGTGTCAGTGAAAGGGAGTGACTTCATCTTTGCTTGTGGCCGCAATCTCGTGTCCAGAGATTGTTTTTACAAGCCACTTCTCTCAGACCCATAACTGCTCCTTACATGCCCAGGCCCAGAGCGGAGTCCTTGCAAACAAGGACACCGTTCCGCCGAGTTACCACAGCCTCTGCTCAGGAGCCGAGACCCCAGAGTCACCGTGCCGGCCTCAGTGGGAGGCCCCGGACTGGTGATCGCGGGTGCACATGCTTCGTCTGGGGGGGCGTTAACTCCTGTGGCGTCAGATACAAGCCCATGCACCGTGCGTGCCCAGGTCAGAGGGTTAAGACCCGACGCCTGCAGGGGCTGGACAGCGGGGCCCCAGCCACTCCCCGGGGGAGCTTCCTGACCCGGCACTCGGTGTGAATTCCTCGTGGGAAATGGCTGCAGAACCACGACACGGTGCGGTCCCTAAGTGCACCTAGCTCCCCACTGCCCTTCATGTCGGGCGCGTTTGGGGGCGCGGCGGGCAGACAGGCCCCCGCGACGCAGGAGGTGGCAGGCAAGCAGCTGGGTTCACGGGCTGCAGTGCAGCCGGCGCTCCCACCCGTGAGGAAAGCAGCGCGGATCGAAGTGCGGCGCCAGGCACAGGGCTCTGCCGACGGCGTGAACGTGCCCCGAGGCTGAGCTAGGGACACAGCGAGGGACCCCGGTCCCCAGGTGACTCCCGCGGCTCAGGCAGCGGCCCCACACATTTCTGCTCTCAGTCTTGCCAGTGACCAGCTGGCCTGTTTCCACGG